GTGTTTTCTGAAATGCTGTAGTGTTTTGTAAAATGCTGTAGTGTTTTGTAAAATGCTGTAGGGTTTTCTGAAATACTGTAGTGTTTTCTGAAATGCTGTAGTGTTTTCTGAAATACTGTAGTGTTTTCTGAAATGCTGTAGTGTTTTTGTAAAATGCTGTAGTGTTTTCTGAAATGCTGTAGTGTTTTCTGAAATACTGTAGTATTTTCTGAAATACTGTAGTGTTTTCTGAAATGCTGTGGTGTTTTCTGAAATACTGTGGTGTTTTGTAAAATGCTGTAGTGTTTTCTGAAATACTGTAGTGTTTTCTGAAATACTGTAGTGTTTTCTGAAATGCTGTAGTGTTTTCTGAAATGCTGTAGTGTTTTCTGAAATACTGTAGTGTTTTCTGAAATGCTGTAGTGTTTTGTAAAATGCTGTAGTGTTTTCTGAAATTCTGTAGTGTTTTGTAAAATGCTGTAGTGTTTTCTGAAATGCTGTAGTGTTTTTTGAAATGCTGTAGTGTTTTCTGAAATGCTGTAGTGTTTTCTGAAATACTGTAGTGTTTTCTGAAATGCTGTAGTGTTTTGTAAAATGCTGTAGTGTTTTCTGAAATGCTGTAGTGTTTTGTAAAATGCTGTAGTGTTTTCTGAAATGCTGTAGTGTTTTTTGAAATGCTGTAGTGTTTTCTGAAATGCTGTAGTGTTTTCTGAAATACTGTAGTGTTTTCTGAAATACTGTAGTGTTTTCTGAAATGCTGTGGTGTTTTCTGAAATACTGTGGTGTTTTGTAAAATGCTGTAGTGTTTTCTGAAATGCTGTGGTGTTTTCTGAAATGCTGTAGTGTTTTGTAAAATGCTGTAGTGTTTTCTGAAATACTGTGGTGTTTTCTGAAATACTGTGGTGTTTTGTAAAATGCTGTAGTGTTTTCTGAAATGCTGTAGTGTTTTCTGAAATACTGTAGTGTTTTGTAAAATGCTGTTGTGTTTTCTGAAATGCTGTAGTGTTTTCTGAAATACTGTGGTGTTTTCTGAAATGCTGTTGTGTTTTCTGAAATGCTGTAGTGTTTTCTGAAATACTGTAGTGTTTTCTGAAATACTGTAGTGTTTTCTGAAATGCTGTAGTGTTTTCTGAAATGCTGTAGTGTTTTCTGAAATGCTGTAGTGTTTTGTAAAATGCTGTAGTGTTTTGTAAAATGCTGTAGTGTTTTCTGAAATGCTGTAGTGTTTTGTAAAATGCTGTAGTGTTTTCTGAAATACTGTAGTGTTTTCTGAAATGCTGTAGTGTTTTCTGAAATGCTGTAGTGTTTTCTGAAATGCTGTAGTGTTTTCTGAAATACTGTAGTGTTTTCTGAAATGCTGTAGTGTTTTCTGAAATGCTGTAGTGTTTTGTAAAATGCTGTAGTGTTTTCTGAAATACTGTGGTGTTTTGTAAAATGCTGTAGTGTTTTCTGAAATACTGTGGTGTTTTCTGAAATGCTGTAGTGTTTTCTGAAATACTGTAGTGTTTTCTGAAATGCTGTAGTGTTTTGTGAAATGCTGTGGTGTTTTGTAAAATGCTGTAGTGTTTTGTAAAATGCTGTAGTGTTTTCTGAAATACTGTAGTGTTTTCTGAAATGATGTAGTGTTTTCTGAAATGCTGTAGTGTTTTCTGAAATGATGTAGTGTTTTCTGAAATGCTGTAGTGTTTTCTGAAATGCTGTGGTGTTTTGTAAAATGCTGTAGTGTTTTCTGAAATGCTGTAGTGTTTTCTGAAATACTGTGGTGTTTTGTAAAATGCTGTAGTGTTTTCTGAAATACTGTGGTGTTTTTTGAAATGCTGTTGTGTTTTCTGAAATGCTGTAGTGTTTTCTGAAATACTGTAGTGTTTTGTAAAATGCTGTAGTGTTTTCTGAAATACTGTGGTGTTTTGTAAAATGCTGTAGTGTTTTCTGAAATACTGTGGTGTTTTTTGAAATGCTGTTGTGTTTTCTGAAATGCTGTAGTGTTTTCTGAAATACTGTAGTGTTTTCTGAAATGCTGTAGTGTTTTCTGAAATGCTGTAGTGTTTTCTGAAATGCTGTAGTGTTTTCTGAAATACTGTAGTGTTTTCTGAAATACTGTAGTGTTTTCTGAAATGCTGTGGCGTTTTCTGAAATGCTGTAGTGTTTTCTGAAATGCTGCGGCGTTTTCTGAAATGCTGTAGTGTTTTCTGAAATGCTGTAGTGTTTTGTAAAATGCTGTAGTGTTTTCTGAAATGCTGTAGTGTTTTCTGAAATGCTGTAGTGTTTTGTAAAATGCTGTAGTGTTTTCTGAAATGCTGTAGTGTTTTCTGAAATGCTGTAGTGTTTTGTAAAATGCTGTAGTGTTTTCTGAAATACTGTAGTGTTTTCTGAAATACTGTAGTGTTTTGTGAAATGCTGTAGTGTTTTGTGAAATGCTGTAGTGTTTTCTGAAATGCTGTAGTGTTTTGTAAAATGCTGTAGTGTTTTCTGAAATACTGTTGTGTTTTCTGAAATGCTGTTGTGTTTTCTGAAATGCTGTGGTGTTTTCTGAAATGCTGTTGTGTTTTCTGAAATGCTGTAGTGTTTTCTGAAATGCTGCGGCGTTTTCTGAAATGCTGTAGTGTTTTGTGAAATGCTGTGGTGTCTTGCACTTCAGGGCCACCGTAGATATTAGTATCCACTGAGGTGCTACTTGGTTTACGTGAATGACGCACACTTTTGCTTGTAAGATGAATATAAAGTCAGATACTAAAGTTTCAAATTGGACACTCACTCCATTTATTTTCCATTCATGCTATCTATTAATTTCCATCCGATTCCCTCACCGTAAAAAAAATGACACTTAGAAACAGAATAACTTAGCTTGGACAGCCAACTTTACCGCAGCGATTGTACGTGTACAGTAAACCGTGTTTTTGTGTGTGTGCTCAGGTGTGTGGTCAAAAACAGCTTTGGAATCAACAAACATTAGTTCCTACCTTTATACCCAGATCGCTAATTGGCTCCTTCACTACTTATTAAATAAATCAATGATTTGATAGAATTATAGAATCGGAGGATGAAACCCTCTCTAATGGTCACGCATACATGCACACTGCACACACTGTGACATTTGGTCTCTGCGTTTAACCCATCCTAGTACTAGGAGCAGTGGGCTGACATTTGTGTCCAGTGTTCTGGAATTGGCTGACAATGTTATTAAATTAACAATTACAATTATCACCAAAAAATGGTCTGTTCCATTGCAGACCTACAGCTGGAACTGAGGTGACAGCAACGTAACTCAAAGTGACAGCAGCTCTGATCAAGGTTTTCTGAAACTGTCCAAGTCTGTTCACATTTTCTTCTACATTATTTAGTCTTTAAACACTGCTAGAGTCCTTCTCCTCTGTCTCCCCCTTACAACACGATTACAAAGTGTTTTCTGATAGAGAAACCCTAACATTAAATGGATCAGACTTCTTTCTGCGGATTGATATGGCTCACATGGTCCCTGATAAGAGTGTCTTTAGTAATGGCCTGAATCCATTGAACCACCAATTACAAAACTTTAATGAATAAAGATTTATCTGAGGCTTTCCAAGAAACACAACCTATACAGTACAACCATTTTTTGTAACTAAAGCAAGTTGCTTAGGAGGTTAACATCTCGATTAAACTATACTAGTTTGGACTTTAGGAGCATTTCCACTGGGGGATCGACATGTCCTCAACATTCAATCTTTTAGAGAGATTTTCAGTCTTGAACAGTTTCCATGATCCAGATAAGAGATGCTTTAAATTAAACATTTAAAAAGCTCATCTGAGTCACCTTGATTTATAAGTGCAATACTTTATTCAAATAACAGCAGCGTGTGCTCTAAGCAGTTATTAATGCTGACAATGAATGCAATCCAATAATACCTAGCATTGCATTGTAAATGTCCTTGATGTCTGCTGGTCCAAAGTTTGTTTCACATTAGCAACATGACAGAAGTCCCTGTTGGGTTGGAATATGGTCTCTGTTGAAGTTAATGCTTTCAGGTTTCAGCCTGCAGGTTTGTTTTTGATTACATCGATTGTTGTTGTCACGCAGCAGCTCCTTTGGATGTGTGAGCAGATAACTGCGGAGGTCTCAGTGTGCAGCTCGGCACTGCTGCCTGAGAAGCATATGTTACTATGAATATGCTGCTTCAGTGGATTTGTATGAAATATGCAAATATGATTACATTTGAATGTATCATTAGTGCTCCTGAGTATAATATATCATCAAGGTAAAGCCAGCGGGCGAATCATCTGACGAAGCAATAAATAGTGGGATGATGAATTTGTTTAGTATATTCACCATCATTTCAATTTCCACACCACTGATTACATCATTTCAAAAACAGTCAATGGAATCACGTCATCCATCCAATCACAATTCTATTCTTCTTAAATACATTTCTCGTATTGATTTTTATTTATCTGGTTTACAGCAGTATGAAACCCAAAAAGAGATTTTTCCGTTTGCAATAAACGGATTAAAACTATGCAGAAATAACTATATAAAGGTGCTGGATTTTGTTTTAACCTCGTCATGCTGTTATCAAGAAAAAAACAACTTTGAAAAACACTGAATTCTGAATTGAGTTCTGTATGGCTGTGCTAACATCATAGCCGCTCCATCAACACTCACAATAAAGTCACCTGAACTAGGATGAATACAGCTCCAAGTTATTGTTCAGAAAAAGAGATATCTGCATACTGTAGTTTAGTCGGGGAAAGCAGGACGTTCAAAGTTGTCACTATGGGCTTTGGGAAATCATGGATATTCTCCACTTATTGGTGGCATTTCATAAATAATAATTACCAGGTACTCTCCGTTCTTCTTAAATGCTTTGAAAAATAAATGAGAGGGACACTGTTTTGCAACCAGTAAATATAGAGGAAGTATTTTGTTAGCTTTCAACAGCCAACTTGCTCAAGTGTGATATATATAAAATTGTTCAGATAATGGCCGGTAATATATAATTGAATATGAACATTATTACAGTAATGATTGACTCTTCTCTTCCCAGCTGCTTTACGAGGAGTGGGCCAGCTACAGCGTCTTCTACAAGTACCAGCCCATCGGACTCATAAGGTCAGATCAATAGCAATGAGCTTTGTCACACATCAGAGGAATTACAGACACATTTGCAGGAATTATATGTATTGCTTTCACAGCTGCATTAACTGCCTCCAGCAGCCTGCGGGCAGGAAGGACGGAGGAAGACTCTGAATCAGATCGAAGCTCCGCTGAAGCTCCCTCACAGTCAGGGCTGAGCGCAGAGCTCTCCAGGAAAAAGAACCTGAGCAGCTCACTCTGCTTAGGGACTTTAATCATGTCTTTTAAAGACTGTCATGTCAGCGTAGGATGAACATGATCTGGTTTGAGAGATGAATGCAGTTGGTAGAGGATGAAAAAAACGATTTACAACAACTAAAGACAGCAGGATGGGATGTTTCTTGCTTTATTATTTATAAAAAATTGAACACCCGTGATAATGTCTATCATGATCTCATTTGTGAAGGGGTTATGGTTATGGACAGTGATGTATTAATGTTGTAAATGTAGGATATTTCACCGATGGTGTATCCTTCCACAGGAAGTATTTTGGGGAGAAGGTGGGACTATATTTCGCCTGGTTAGGAGTCTACACACAGATGCTGATCCCTGCAGCCATCGTCGGAGTCATCGTGTTCCTCTACGGCTGTGCCACTGTCGATGATAACATACCAAGGTACACACACACACACACACACACACACACACACACACACACACACACACACACACACACACACACACACACACACACACACACACACACACACACACACACACACACACACACACACACGCACACAGAGATCAAGCAGGATTTTCAATACAGAGTTGCTTTTCATGCCTACTCAATAATTTTTTGAGGTAGGATGGGTGTTGTGATCACATGTCTACTACTGTATGAATCTTTATAACCATGTTTTTCTTTTGTAGAGAATGTATTTGCAAAAGAAGCCAAAAAGCTCAAATGTTAAAATATTTCCTAAATATTATTTAATAAGGTTAAAGACATGGATAGACAAAAGGAGGTGACTCAAAGAGTGCAGATTATGTCACAATGTTAAAACTAATTCAAATAAATAATGTTCCTTATTGCACAGATATTTAGATTGACCAAAAAGGGGAGTAGGAGCACATTGTGCCATGTTGACTCACAAGGTGAAACCATACCTGCCACACTCTGTTGTAACTAGACTGGGAACTTATAAATAGAACATTTGATGACATCTTTCAGATGGAAGGCGATACTTGGTGCTATGGACGCCTTTCAGAAGCCACCAAAAAGTGTTGATTGTTCATACCCAGCTCTGAAATAAAAAATTAAATAAAATGAGACACTACATTAAAGGTGGAGTTGGTAATTTTGGAGAAACCAGCTCGAGTGCGCTAGAATTTGAAAATACACAGCCAGAAAAAAATCTGCCACTTCCTTCCAGAGTCCCTCCTCCAACACACACGAACGCACACATGACCAATGAGGGCACGAGATAAGTTTGTGCACAGATGGAAGGCTGACAGGCAGGTAGGCCATCCAGTTATTTTAGCCGGGCCGGCTCAGATAATTGGTCGTGCTTTTTACAGCACTACGGCTTCCAGAGATGACATTTTGTTATGGATTTTTTGTCAAAGCACTTCAGATATTCATTGCTATTGGGATGTTAAGAGCATTCCATGGAATATAACAAGTGTATCTCAAGCCGGTTTCTCAAACTTACCTACCCCACCTTTAAGGTACATATCCAAAATTATTTCTCATGTCGTTGTTAAGGTTGTATTTACTCCTAAAGGTTTTATTTATTGACTGGCTGGCTCTCTGGCAAGCTAGCTAAATAAATACTATGCCAGTGTAAAAGGAGATGCTAACCACTGCTCCACATGGAGTTCAAACTAAGTTAGTTTTGCTGAAAAAAGGAAAGTGAGCTTATTATTGAGTGCAAAATGGTATACAGCATTTTCCTAAAACAAGTAAGCAAAGTTGTTTCACCTGTTGGTGGTACAGTATAAGTAAAACGGTTAGCATTGTATGTGAATCTAGTGTAGTATTGTTTTATAATATGCAGAAACTGAATATAACTTGTGAAAAAAACACACTTTTAACAACTATTGGTTTAGAAAGTCCACATCAGACCCAATAGAATAAAGGAGGTCTCTTCCACTGTGCAGCCTGATGGTAGACGGCAGGATTAGCCCACACCCTGACTCTACCTGGTTACATAAACACACTTGGAAGCTTTGGGTTTATTGCAACACCGCATCATTACACACTTTACATTTGCACAGTATCAATGATTGTTTAGGAACATGAGGATAAAGTATGTTAAATGAGGCAATAGAAACCATTTTGCTGAGCGTTTTTATATGTACAAAAGTGGTGGGGCACAAAAAACTTAGATGTCTAATAAGCTTCTGCAGTGAGGTTCATGGCTGGTGAGGCACTGGCACCGACTCTTCAGGTTTACAAATATTATATTTTGACCTAAATCAAAATATAATATTATTTTCAAAAGCTTTTTTTGTCTGAAGCTTCAATTAATTTTAAACAGACAGTTCAACAAAAGGATACCCAAAAAATGTAATTGTATCATTTAAATATTGAATTGTTCTCTCTTAGTAAGATCCCATTTTCAATAAAATTGTGGTCTTACCTTGACTTGAAGATGAAGTCCATTTGCCTATCCTTCTGGACAAAAATCTCTATTACTTTTTTGTAAAAGTCCTCCCTATGTTCTTGTAGTTTCAAAAGTCTATCATAAATCTGATCTAATCGATATATTTATGATTCAAAAATTATAAAAGTAGGGTAGACATGTGGATATTATCCGGCTGAACAAAACGTGCATTTATCTAACAGCTACGTTTCCCACAGATCTTATTTTGAGCTATTTTCTAAAATCCTATGGAGAAATCTCATTGCTTTTTTGTGGAGGGAAGCCATGCGCAGCTTACTTCCTGATTTTAGGACGCCTCACTGCATCTCTCTCCTCTCCTCTTCACACACCACACTTTTCGCGGCACACGTACTTACAGCCAATCAGCTCTGAATGATGTGAGATGATGTATGGTGGGGATGGCAGCTCTATGCCCCTATGGTCATTATTTTTTGCCACACACATTAAATAGGAAAATACTCTGAGCATGCGCAGTGTAGTTTTTACAGTCACCGTTCACTTAGACAGTGAGAGGGAGGGGCAGGATCGGGTTTTGTCCCACATGGCTCAAAATGGCTCAATAGGCACACACTGTAGACACTAATTAGAAGAACACGTACTAAAACAGCAATGAGACGAATCAGATGATTAAACATGATCTTAAAATATATTTAATATTTTTTTTAATTTATTTTCTGCATTTTTTGTAATCATTCTTTTTAATACTTTCTGCTGACACTAGGTGGGGCTGTGCCACCTGCCCCTAATGACCAGTCGCCACTGGTGTCACGATCTGTCTGTGTTGTGTTTTGTCTTGTCTTTTTCTGTCTTTGGTTTCCTGTTTTATTTTGAAAAGTGTTCACCTCCTGTTTTGCCTGTTGCTTTCTGTCTGTGTTCCCTCCTGCCTGATTACTCGATTGTGTTCACCTGGTGCCCCTGTGTTTTCTCCTCCCTCCTCACCTGTCTCTTGTTTGTTTGATTAGTCCTGTGTGCATTTAGGTTCTGTGTTTTCTGTTAGTCTTTGTGAGTTCCTTGTTGTAGTTTGACGTTGTTCACGGGGAAGAGTTCTGTTTGGTTTCATTTTGCCTTTGAATAAAGGTGTTTTTTCTGAGAAATCTGCATTTGGGTCCTGCCTGCTTCGCTCATCCCTGACAATGGGCAGGGATGAAGGACTACATTTCAAATGTAATCACATATACTAAACAATAGATTTGGGTTTTAACAATTATACTTGTGCAATATTCCAACCTCTGCCATTTACATGGATTTAATGATTTCTTATTTATTTACAATTTGCAATCACTAATCACAGCCCCTGAAGCAGCGTACTGTAATTGTAGGCTTATCTGGATGTTAGGAAATACTATCAAAGGTGGATACATTTTCACAATCGCTCTCATAATCCAGAACCTTAACAGACATACTGTAAATAAGAGAATATATTTAAACAAAATGGTTCACAAAGTGGGTGACCTCGAGGTGCCGCAAGATTGATCAGGTTAGTGTTCACAGTGCGTTACGGAAACATGATGACATTTACATTAACTGTTTCATTCTAAGTTGAAAGATAATCAATACATATATAATTGACTCCATAAAGGGCAGCTGAGGCCTTTCTGCAGGGTTTTAGCATGTTTTCCCACACATCTCGGGTTAATGGGAGTGAAGGTGTGAATGTGAGGGTGATGGCTGTCAGTCTCTGTACAGGGAGTGTCAGCCCTGTGATTGATTTGTGACCTCTCCTCGGGAAACGCTCACCCAGTGTCAGAGTATATCAATTAAATATCCATATTTCTGTACAGATATGGGTGTTGGCTGGCACTGGTTTTGAAACTGCTGCTTCAGAAACAAAAAAATAAGCATTTTAGTTGTAAAATGTATTTTGTACTTTGCAATGTAACCTGAATCTAAACTCTTGTTCTGATCCCTCTCCAACATCCTTTTCCCATCTCCTTAGAGAACACATTTTATGATCGTTAATCAATTGGTAGCTGGTGGCATTTCAAAATATACAAGTCTTTCATTAATTCTGTGAGAGTTAAAATTGAATTCATTTAATTTTCAGCACACATTTATTTGGTGTCTTTTGTTTGTTAAAGTAAGCTCATTAAGCTCATAAACCCTGGACTAAAACGCTTATTTGTGTTTCAGCTAGATTTGTGATCATCATAAACCTCATATCTGTCAACGTGATATTAGTATACGATATGTTTTAGATTTAAACCAATAATCAATCGCTTTCAATGAAATGAATGGGACCATTTGAGGGATTGAGGAAAGTGGACCGCTTTGCCTTTGATTAATTGGTCTTCTTGTGTCCATCCGTCAGTATGGAGATCTGTGATCCCAGGAACAACATCACCATGTGTCCGCTGTGCGACCGCGCCTGCAGCTACTGGAAGCTGGTGACCGCCTGCGGGACGGCCCGGGCCAGCCACCTGTTCGATAACCCCGCCACCGTCTTCTTCTCCATCTTCATGGCCCTCTGGGGTAAGGACCCTTCACATCCAAAGAGTCCAATAAAAACCAGCAGCCAGTTGCACAAAATATCTTAAATTAAAATAAATTCCAAGGTCTGACTTTGAGTTTCCATGTTTCTAAAAAGGTTTAGATGCTCAAAAAACAATTTTTTTTTTTACGGTTTGCTTAAAACGTTCCCTTAAGTATTTGAAGTTTTGTCCTTATTTTGGTATTATACTTAAGGAATCTCCTAAGGCCAGTTAAACCGTTGCACAAAATACTTTAACAGCCAAAGTGAAAAAGGAAACTAGATTAAATTAGATTAGATCATCTATACTTAATTCATCCAATAAACATTAGTATTAGAATAAAATCCAAGTAGAATAAGATAACCATAAACAATAAATAAATACATATCATCAGCACAAAATATATATATAGATTATTTAAAATATACACAATATAAATAAAATTCTAAATACATTAGAGTAATCCATAATAGATACATCTACTACAAAAACTGCATAATAAAGATACATTCTACATACAAAAGTGTGCAACATTGAGTGCAGTTTTTGAATTAAAATTCATATCAATTCAATGAAGTAGCGTGATATGCCCAAAATGAGTAAATTGTGTTAAATAGGGAAAATGAATGTGTCTAAGAGGGATGACGAGCTATTCGTTTTACACAATATATTTGACCATTGGTCAGTGCATGATTTGTCTTACCGTCTACAGTTGGATCACTATATTTGCTGAAACTCTGCAATTAATTATTACCTTTCAGTTTTATGCTAATGGGTACTTCAAGAGAACACCTCAAGTGTATTTAAAAAAGGCCACTGTAGATGAGTAGAATTTCAAACACAACCTGTTCAGCAAAGTAGTTGCTAAGTTGCCAAGTAAGTTGCTAGTTCAACCGTTTAACTTTATAGACAATACGGTTTAATCCATTCAGTTTAGAAAATGTGATTACTGCCCCTCAGGCTCACATAGACTTTACAATAGGAATCTGCAGAGTAACTCTTGAGTAAACAAAGAGCCGCTCTTCTGATGTCCTGCCAATCCACACTGCCATCTGCGAGTGGCAGCAGGGCGTCAGACCAGAGAGGTTCTGGAGCTGGTGTCTGACAGAGTCACAGCCTGTCTGCCATCTGGGTTCATGTTCTGTAGCCCTGATGAAGGAGAATATCATGAACCTGTACATACTGCTCCTTGTGGGAAATCATTGCAGGAGCCAAAATAGCAACATGTGTGCAAATGAAACACAAATGTGTGTTGCCTTCTTGTCAACTAATAACATGACAATATCCAATCCAACAATTACTGCTTCAACTAACAAGTATTGTAAGTTCTGTAAGTACATTTTCTTTAGTAAAGCACCCTAAATCAAACAATATCACACATTTCTTCATGACAACATAATGATTAACCATAAAAACCATATATACAGTCTATGATAAAAACACATGAGGTGAGAAGAAAGGCTAGCTTTAAGTGGGTCTTCAGCTGCTTTTAAAAAAGGCTCTAAATGTTAAACAGGTACCTTGAAATAAATGACAATATTAGACAATGTAATAAAGGAGATACATTGGGTTTGATCTGGGTTTCCCTGCTGGTAGGTGTTATCATTGCCATGTGCAGAAGTATTCAGGACCATTAGCAGAAGGTTCAGAGACACTTGACTGTGGCAGATCAAAAGGGAGACATAGGCTGCGTTTCACTTCTCTTATTTTTCATTTCCTCGCTCCTCGGTCTCTGTATCACCGGAAGTTGATTTGTCTGCGCCATCTTGAGTAGCGTCCCAGTGCCCTTATTTGTGCCGGAGGACCGAGGATCGAGGAGCGATAACGGAGGAGCGATAATCGAGGAACTACCAGACCATCCTGTGGTGAAATCCTCAGACACTCGCCCTGCCCCATTACTGTGTATCGCTCACTGATTGGACGATGCAGCGCATGCACTGATCTAGCTGCTGTCAGACGATCAGCTGTGCGGCGTCATCACAAAAGGATGTCGCTTCAGCAATTATGAAAGCTATGTTATCTGAAGCGACCATGGGACATCATCCTTAAGAGATGTATACCTGAATATCATCAGCGTTACAGTCAAATAAAATGTTCTCATTTTTTACCTAAATAATAACCTCGAAAAAACATAGGAGAAAATTATATAGGACCAAAGACTCATCCCTGAGGGACACCCCAGAAACAAGCAGCAGTTTCAGACTCTTAGGGACCAAGGGACACAGAAAAGAAACTCCTATCGAAGACATAACAGGAGAACCAGTCCACATTATGTATCAAAGCCTAATAGCTTCTTCCTCTGAGCCATAGAGCTCCACTGATGCCCATAACTATTCAAAACACATCGTTGAGCCACACTGTTGCATTATCATGATCCCACTCACACAGTAGTTTATTTAAACTCAATCCCACGTACACTGTCCTGATCTAATATTAACCAAAATTACCTTTTGTTGTTGTAATTAAGCAAATACATCTAAAGATGCATGTTTATTAGGAACCAACAGACTTGGAACTGAGAGCCACAGACAGAGTAGTGAAGGATAGTCCATTTGGGATTTCTAGAGATACATTGTTAATGGCATTGCAATCACTACAGTTATCCATTTATTTCTCCAATCCATTTTATTTCTATAGCACATTTAACAACAACAGAGTTGAACAAAGTGCTGTACATCAACAACTGTATAAAAACATAGCATAAATACATAAAAAACAGACAGGACATGAAACAAATGTGAAACACGAGACAATGAAACCAGATCAGAAGCCACAGACTGAGAAACTCTCCTACATGACGTAAAAACAATATAAAACACTAGTAAGATAAAAACCCAAATTGAAAAGCACAGTGTCACCTGGTCTGTAAATGCCAGGGAAAAGAAGTGGGTTTTTAAAGGAGATTTAAAAACAGGCAGAGTTGGAGCAAGTCTAACCTGGAGGGGCAATTTGTTCCATAACTTTGGAGCTGCAACAGCAAAGGCTCTGTCTCCTCGCTGCTTTAGCCTTGGGTTATCTAGCTAGGCATAGAGGTTAACTATATACAAGCTGATGATTAGTCACAATAATCATTGTCAATGTCAATTATAATCAACATAAAACGAATTAACCCTTTAAATTAGAGTCTAAAAGAAACAACGGAGATACAGCACATCTTTACAGAAGGAATCCAAAAAAATAACCTTATTGTTTGTTTATTGTCATGTATAGATGATGGTATAAGGGGCATGTATACAGATGTTGATTGAGCCTGTGTTAATATTGCTGCGTGTGCTTGGTTATGTAGCGGTTCTCTTCATGGAGCACTGGAAGAGACGACAGATGCGGCTCAACTATGTCTGGGACCTGACGGGCTTCGGAGAAGAGGAGCAGGTGAGACAATGCTACAAATTATTTTTGGATACAAATGTCTAAAGATATACGTTTATTACAGGAGTATATTTGATAACAATAGTTTCACATTCTGGTAAAACCTATGATTTGTTTCTTTGCTGAGAGTTATTACTCTTGTGTCTGAATATGAGGCTACAGTCAGCAAGCTTAGCATAAAGACTGGAAATAAGCAGCAACAGAAACTAGCTTACAGGCAACAAGCACCTCTAAACAGAGGTGGGAGAAGTGCCAGAGTGTAAGAATACTAAAATATTAAATAAATGTAGTGGACTATTTACCTCTGAATCGTAGATAGGCAAGGCGTCGAAGAACATTGAAATACTCCAGTAAAGCACAAGTCTGTCAAAATTGTACTCAAGTACACTACTTGAGTAAATGTACTTAGTTACTTTACACCACTGCCTCTAAAACGCGTTTATTAACATGTTACTGTATGTAATGAAATGCTAAGATAATAAGTTGTGTTTTCTACGCAAGCCTCGAGAGGCAAATGACTTAAAAAAGATGTTGGTGGTCCAATTTTAAGTCTAATTTGAATAGTTTTCCCTACAAAATGTGTGGCAGTTTATTTGTTTCATTTCACCATGCTATCTTATCACAAGGTAGACATATGTTTGTGTTAGCAAAACAATAAGCAACATAACTGTCAGGTTTTTCTTTGAGAGCCCACATGCAATAAAGACCTTGTGTTTCGAATGCACGGAGAGATGAAAGCCTTTAAGAAAACAGGACTTAACTCGTGCTGACACTATCATGACAAGAAATACAGATGTGTCACTGCAAAGTCACACAGTAATATGGATGACAGAGAGGTGGGGGTCTGTGTTCCTGTGTCGTGAGTCAGCCCTCAGCTGTAATGTTCCCACACACACACCACAGTCAAACACATCACTATCTTTTCAAATCATAAGGAAATGAAGCAGTGTCCTACAGCCTTCTTCTAAAAGGTTTGTGTCAGTATCATGTCCTGTATCATTGACATTTGTTCCTTTTGTGTTTGTGTGTGTTGTATTTGACAGGAGGAACATAAGGTTTGGAATCCGACTTGCTTACCTTTTTTTTAACCTACCGTTTACGATCCATCCTGCAGCCGCTAACGCTAACATGTTCTCCCTCAAGGTGTCTAACAATCTCCCTTAGGAGTATTCCCTTGGCATTTTGTACTCTTGTATCTGCTGTGTAAGGTTTACTGCGGCTTTTCTCTTTCTCTCTGAGGTTTATACTGAAGCCTCTTGTTAGTGTGGCCTCTCAACACTGTGTTGTTGCTGTTGTTTGTCTCCTGACGGCAGCAGAGATGACAGGACCATTTATTTGACTCATAGCTCTCTGTCCTCCTCCTTGCTCCTCTGCTTTTCTTTTGAGATATACAGGGCCCATAGGAGCCATAACACAAGTAGCACACAAACTCCCAATGTTATATAATATGCATTTGAACAAGTGGTGTGAAATATAGGCTTAGCATTTTGTACTTTTAAACAAAAAGGAACAGAACTGGCTAACCTGTTGGGTCAATACAATCTGAACATCGTGAAGCACTTTAAATGCAAATGGCATAACAGAATGAATACGGTTGGTTTAATTATGTGAGGCCTTGGTTTTCCAAAATGGTTGAGTAACGGCCCAATGAAAGAAGTGGCTATCTGTCCCTTTTACTTCTCACAAGTCCTAAAGGCCCAGAGAGTCATGTAGGGCTCATAGCACTGATGGTATTCGACCCATGTGCGCCTCATATACTTTTCACACTTTAAGCCTGTATTGGGCCCACATGGACATGTTGGCTGGGAAGTCAGTGGTATGTCTAACCGTAAACTTCACAAATACCTGGAAATATGTTTCTCAAAAATCCACAACCTGGAACAGGACCGAAAGGGGATCAAATAGGCAGGGTAGCTGGTTTTTGTTCCCAATTAAAACAGTATAACAAGTCCACGCTTTTATATTTCCAGAGGTGTAATGAGTGTGTCATTTGAAAGGTGTGATATATACTGTAGTGATGAAACCCCAAAGAGTTATAACCTTGCTGTTATTATTATCACCTCAGCTTCAAAAGCTCCTGTAGGGCTGGTAGGAGAGTGCATTTTTGACTTATATTTGTCAGGTGGCCAAACATGACTCCAAGTTACTGCTGTGTGTGTAAATAGCAGCTTGCTAACACCCTCTTGTTACAGTGAGGAAGAGTTGCCAACAAATCTGATAATGCAGGTTAAGTTGCAGTAATGATGGGTCATGAGGACTCTAAGAAGAAAATGATTACATTTCTACTGAATATGAAATGATAGAAGAGCAATTGTTGCTTTTAATAATCCAATTCTTGAAGAAGTCACTCTTTACATTTGCTTTTTGTCTGCATTTGGGTCTTTGTTTGCCTACTGTATCTTCGCTCATGTTCTAACCTTAACAATGCAATAACTATGCCTAACCACGTTTTGCAATTCTTTCCAACCAAGGGTTCCACCAGAGTCCTCTGTGTACACTGCACCTCTTCATTCCTCCTGGCTTAATGCAACAAGTATTACTCTGTGACAAATGGGTGCATATACATTCATTTCTGACGGCATATTACATGGAAATAAAATGTTACCCTGATATTCCTCACCATGCAAGGATTATTTGATCAAAACAAAAATTCAGCTTGCCATATCATGGAGCTTTGTGAATCAAATGGTAACAGCTGGATTAAGAAAGGACAGTTTCAAATGTCAATCACAGACACATACTGAGAGAGGTAGGTTTTGATGGCATATACAGCACACATGTAGCTGTTAGCTTAGCTGTATTGCATTAAGCTTGGATAAACATAAATGCATCAAAACTAGCAAAAAAACTGGACTGGCTGTTTTTATGTTATTCTAACATTTAGTTTCACATATTCCTAATCCTTTCATGGTGGGTCCATGCACAGCAGTCGAACTCAAACACACCGTTTTGCTTCATGCACACAGGCTGTTCATTTCATGGCTGTCTCCAAACGTTCTACTGTATATCGCTCTGTACTGCTTACTAACCCACAGGGGTCACGTGTCCGTTACTGTAACATTCAAACTGATTTCCATTCCAGGACCACAACCGAGCCGAGTACGAGTTGCGGGTCATGAAAAAGACAATGAAACTGGAACAATCCAGCCCCAAGGTAAAGTAGATTTACTTGATGTTATGTATGTGTGTAAAGCAGACCTGCACAGTGCATCATGTTTTAGAGATCTGTCCTCAGAGCGTCGGCATCAGAAGATGTACTATTCACAATATTACATGATTGTGTTACATAATTTGTTACTTGATATGCCTTATTTGTGCCTTAGTACTCGAACTGCTTTGGACACCTACACTATCATTTACATTACTGCATCATTTTCTTAAGCATGCCATTAGTTTAACCCATAACATTTCACTTTGGGAACTTTTTGAAATGAATAAAGTGCACTTTGTATGGGGTCAGATAGGACTTAAAATAAATGGCTGCACACACAAGTTTCATCAAATCATTTGGGATTTACATACAAATGTCTCTATTCACAAAAATAGTTTTCAATGGACACACAAATATTAATCGTTTTATATACATGTAAGACAATCCATATAAATAAGTTGCACAAATATACTTCCTATCCCCGCAGAAACATTTATTGTTTTCAATACATATATAATAATCTACAAATATATCTATTCAAAAGTGTTGTATTTTCCATACAAAACATTCACAACAAATACAAAATACATATTTGAATGTTGTTACATTTATATAAAATACACTTGGTGTGTATGAACCGGTTTGTGTGTGTGGCCTTTTGAGACGCCACTCAACACTAGATTCACAAATGCCTTTCCAACACGGAACTTTCCTGTCCGTGGAACTGTTAAAGTGAGACTGATCGGACTCCATACTTTAGAAATAAACAGGGACAAGAAACTTGATAAGGAAAAGCTCACTAAACACAGTAAATATGAAGTCTCCTTTAATTGTATTACTTTTAAATGACTTTGTTGCATCTTTGTCTGATAATATTACTCAGAGACATCCAGCAAACATGGTTTCTGTGAAATGGATAATTAGACTTGGTCCTCTCTTGCAAAAGTCAAAGATAACATCCTGCCAAACAGAGTGAAGACACACACCGTCCGTCAGCAGCTGACAGGGAACGTGGATCACACTGAACAGTGCAGGAATCAAATCGAATGGTGGCTTCATCAGCATGAAAGTGCTGATAAAACACTCTAACAACGTGCGTGTGTGTGTGTGTGTGTGTGTGTGTGTGTTTTCAGAGTGAGAAAGTGAAGCTGACCTGTACAGACAGAATGCCAGCTTACCTGACTGCCGTGTTGATGATGGTCTTCATGGTGAGTCTCATTTTTTGAACATGCTTGTGGTTAGCAGATTTTCATGCTTTGTTCTATGACATAAATTACGTCAGTAAATACGCCGCTAATGAATGTCCGAAGCTTCTATGTGACATCAAAACGGCGGTTGCCAACAAGTGACTAAAAGAGACTAAAAAACGTCATCATGCCAACACGAGTCCACCTTTAGCTTAGCATTAGTGACGTGCAGCCATGACACTGTGATGTAGTCTGTTTATAACCTAGCGTTAGCTTTTTACTTCTGGCGATTGCATTTACGCTTCAAAAATCACAACGTGGTGTTAATATGTGGAAATGATCCTGCTGAACAAAAGTTCAGTAGCATATACGAGAGTTTCCCTTAAGCAGGTTTTTTGCTTCATTTGATTCATTCATGGTTAGCATGGCAGGATAACTCAACACAAAGGACTGCGTGTCCAACATGGATATGACACACACACCAAGGGAAGAGCTTTTCTTTTTAAAATGCAACTACAACAACATTTCAAGCCACTACTAATTATTTGACAAATTCTCCAAAACGGAGCCTAACCCAGATTTGTCAGGACTTGTCAGGGTTGATTGCAGGAGGCTGTTGTGTAGCAGAAGTTGTTGCTATGGACACAGACACATTAAAGTATTACATCCAGGCTCAGGTGGGTAATGATGCATGTCAGAGCAGTCACCCTTATTATTTATATTGTTTGTGACTCCTGTAAACGGCATGTTTAAACAAGTGTAGCCTTTACTGTGCTTTGATTTAGTCAAATGATTATACATTTAAACCTTTCAATGCACTTCCTGCTGATTGTTCAGATTCAAATACAGTTGAGGCCTAAATTATTAGCCCCCCAGGAGTTATGGAACATTTTCCTAAAATTCTTCCCAATGTTTCCAACATTGATAACACTTGATATAATCAAACATTCACCAGTGCTATTTAGTAGCTTTTGGTACTTTTTGGAAGATAAAATAAGTTTTTAGGCTTGCTGTATATCAAATATAGTGAAAAATGGGTTGGTCAAAAATATTAGCCCCCAGGCCATTAATAGTCAATAGTGTACCCTTTCTGAGCCACAACTGACAAGAACCTCTTAAAGTAGTTCTTTACTAGGTTGGCACAGGTCTCTTGAGGGATTTTGGCCCATTCTTCCATTGCAAATTGTTCCAGCTGGTCCGAATTGCGTGGTTTCCGAGCATGGACATTCACTTTGAGCACCCGCCACAGATTCTCAATAGGATTGAGATCTGGGCTCTGTGCGGGCCACTCCAGCACCTTGGTTTTGGTGTCCTTTAGGAACTGTTGGACCAAGTTTGATGTGTGCTTTGGGTCATTGTCTTGTTGGAAGACCCAGCGACGACCTAAGCGAAGACTAAGAGCAGATTTGTTCATATTATCCCTCAAAATGTCAACATAATTTTAATTCTTCATGATGCCTTGCACCCGCACAAGGCTCCCTGTGCCTGAGGCTGCAAAACAGCCCCACAGCATGATGTGTTCTTAGGGTTGAAGGCCTCTCCCTTTCTTCGCCAAACATAAGCAACATCCATGTGCCCAAACAGTTCCAGTTTAGTCTCATCAGACCAAAGCACAGACTTCCAAAACTCATCTTTACCTTTCAAATGTTCACGGGCAAACCTCAGTCTGGCTCTGATGTGCCGCTCTTTGAGTAAAGGGGTTCTTCTGGGACGATGGCCCTGAAGCCCACCACGATGAAGAGCCCTCACCACTGTGTCCCTTGAAACATCAACTCCAGAAGAGGCCAGGTCAGCAACAATCATCTTGGCAGGTGTCCGGGGATTCTTGCCAACATCTCTGACTATTTTCCTCTCCAGAGTTCTTGACATCTTGCGCTTTTGACCACGCCTAGGTTTGTTTCTTACAGAATGTGTCTCCTTGTACTTCGCAATGATGCAACGTACAGCAGTTCTAGACACTGTGAAGCGCTTGGAAATAGCAGTATAGCCTTCCCCCTTATCATGAGCCTCCACTATCTTCTTTATGAGCTCCAGACTGATTTCCTTTGACTTTGGCATGGTGAGTCGGAGTAGTAGTATAGTCCCTCTCAGTAAGGTATTCAAGTGCCTGTTTCTTGGAGTCCTTTTATGCTGATTGAATTCTCAGGTGTGGCTTGAAAGCCGATTGTTCATTAGGTGTGGTTTGAAAGCAAAAATTCACATGGGGGTTAATATTTTTGAGCAACCCATTTTTCACTATATTTGATATACAGCGAGCCTAAAAACTTATTTTATGTTCCAAAATGTACCAAAAGCTACTAAATAGCACTGGTGAATGTTTGATTATATCAAGTTTTATCAATGCTGGAAACATTGGGAAGAATTTTAGGAAAATGTTCCATAACTCCTGAGGGACTAATCATTTAGGCCTCAACTGTAAATGCAATAGAAATGAAGGAGTGGTTGTTTAGAAATATCCACTTGAGAGTGAATCCAACAGGCTCTTCAATACTTCAGCAGAGTTCACATATCTCCTTCCTCCCCGTGAATGTTTTGTCTCATTATCAGCAGATTGTTAGATTGCGTGTTCTCCTCCTCCTCCTCTCTTTAGATCCTCGTGACGTTTGCCATGGTCTTCGGGGTCATCCTGTACCGGATCAGCATTAAGGCAGCGCTGCACATGAGCACTTACTCCGCAGCACGGTCCAACATCAGAGCCACAGTCAAAACCACAGCCGCCATCATCAACCTCATCATCATCATCATCTTAGATGAAATCTACGTCGCCATCGCCCGCTGGCTCACCAAACTGGGTGAGGCACATTTCACTGTTAACCCATTTAAAGCAAGATAATCTTCCTTTGTGTTTGACTACAGATTGACAAGTCAAGATGTTGGAGCTTGGCTGTTCAGAATGATGTCTGTGCAGTTTGTTTTCACATTTATCTGCTCTCTTTGAGCTTACTTTAAATCTCAGTTCAAAGTAAACCACTTTAACCAAATGTGTCTTATTGTGTCTGTAGATTGGAAATAACGAAGGTTTCATGATGATATCTATTAGTTAAATGTTTAACCCTATTAACCAGTAGTGCCTCGCAAAACACATTTCTTTAAAGGTTATTTTTTCAAAATAAGCTTTCTTTCACCAGAACTCTCTACTTCAATTAGTAATACCAACACTTTCCAGTTTCACTCAGTCTAAGAGGGGTTTGTCCAAATAAAACTCACAACCTGATTATAAAGCATTGTGTTACCTAAATAAAAATAAAACATGTATCATGACTATTTGAAAGTCTTATCTGATTTAGCAAGTGAAATCTAAAATGTAAAAAATGTGACATCACAACCAGGTAGGAAACCAATCAGTATTAGTGTTCAAACACAAATGAGGTTGCCTTTAATGGTGCATAGAAATTGCAATGGACATACACATGTAAAACACACTGTACAGCTCATGAAGGGAATTCCAACCGATCTAGAAAAGTAAACACAGCTTTTTCTTCAGAATCAAAGTTGCAGAGGCTTCAGTAACGCTAATGATGAATGGATTTGTCTGTGATATATTCAAACAACATTTGATCTATATTTCAGAGGTGCCAAAGACAGACAAGAGTTTTGAAGAGCGTCTCATCTTCAAAACCTTCATCCTGAAGTTTGTCAATGCATTCACGCCCATCGTCTATTTGGCCTTTTTCAGGGGCAGGTAAACAACGGCTATATTTTGTAAATTGTTATGTTGAATCATTTTTATTAAATTCCTATCAGTCATTACTTAAAAAAGATGAATTCAATTGACCTATTTAATTGAGTTTGTTTGCATAACCACATTGTAAACCACCCGATGTCCACGTCTCGTCTTGTGTTTGGTTCACAGGCTTGTTGGGCGGCCTGGAAGCTACTTGTATGTTATTGGATCGTACAGAATGGAAGAGGTAAATACACGTGTTCAAAATGCATGTTCCTGTTGTCAAAGACTGTCCATGACAATAAAATGTGAAAGATGTTATATATGACACTGACCAGTTCCATATTATATCACAAAAATGTATTGATCTTTCCTCAATTTAGGTGGTGTTAAAGCTGTTTTACTTTCTTAAAGTCCATATTTGATTTATGTCAACAAATCAACTGCTATTTGTTTTAATCACTTTTTAACCTGCTTGGGGCATAACAGCGTAAGATTATACACCTAATAGATTCCTAAGGAAGAGATACATTTTCAACAATATATGCGCTGCATTATAATAGTATAGTTTTTAACCGAGGTTACTAAAATAGTAGGAAATGGTTCACCTGTCCGTGACCATTATAAGTACGCCTAGTGAGAATATTTGGCAACAGGACAGTGTAGGTAGCATTGATTAAAAAGAAAAAACTCCAGTGTGTTTTATAGAAATAATTTGAAAATTCAACGGACCTTGGCTGTTCTCGTGGTCATTTGACCAGTGTGGTCCAAAAAGGCAATTGTTGTTATGGTTAAAGCCACATTCATGTGGGTGTAAAGTGTAGTGGTAGCTGGCCCAGCTACAGATATAAATGAATGGCTAGTTAGATAGGTAACTTCTCCCCTAGATTCCACCGGGTCCGTCTGCGGCGCGTAACGGACGCGTTACGGCTGTGCCGTGGCGTCCGCAAGAATCACGGCCACTCTAGTCAATGGGTTCTATTCCACCAGACGCGCCGCGTTACGGCTCAGAAGCGTCCCAGAAGCGTCTTGCCGCTGGGCTCCGCTAGAAATAGGATTGAAGTCTATTTTTCGACGTGACGCAGCCGGAAGGTAATGTCGGGCAGGCAGGAAGTGGAACGTTCAGAGCATATATAGCATATATATGCACACACAAACTAATGTTGCAGACCCTATCCCTCCGTAGTCTTTCAAGTAGGAGGAGAAATGCCAGCGTTCTCCTCCGGTTTACAGGCACTGTGTACATTATATATATAGAATAATTATGATGATGAATGCATTTTTTTACCACTGAAATACAGCAACACATCTATGATTCATGTCGTTTACAGTGGCGACTGGTCATTAGGGGCAGGTGGGGCACAGCCCCACCTAGTGTCAGCAGAAAGTATTAAAAATAATGATTACCAAAAAAATGCAAAAAATAAATAAAAAAATATATAAAATATATTTTAAGATCATGTTTAATCATCTGATTCGTCTGTACATTGCTGTTTTAGTATGTGTTCTTCTAATTAGTGTCTACAGTGTGTGCCTATTGAGCTGTTTAGAACCATGTGGGACAAAACCCGATCATGCCCCTCCCTCTCACTGTCTAAGTGAACGGTGACTGTAAAAACTACACTGCGCATGCTCAGAGTATTGTCCTATTTAATGTGTGTGGCAAAAAATAATGACCATAGGGGCATAGAGCTGCCATCCCCACCATACGTCATCTCACATAATTCAGAGCTAATTGGCTGTTAGTACGTGTGCCGCAAAAAGTGTGGTGTGTGAAGAGGAGACGAGAGAGCTGCAGTGACGCGTCCTAAAACCCGGAAGTAAGCTGCGCATGGCTTCCCTCCACAAAAAAGCAATGATATTTCTCCATAGGATTTTAGAAAATAGCTCCAAATAAGATCTGTGGGAAACAAACCTGTTAGATAAATGCACGTTTTGTTCAGCCGGATAATATCCACATGTCTACCCTACTTTTCGAATCATAAATCTATTGATTAGATTAGATTTATGATAGACTTTTGAAACTACAAGAACATAAGGAGGACTTTTACAAAAAAGTAATAGAGATTTTTGTCCAGAAGGATAGGCAAATGGACTTCATCTTCAAGTCAAGGTAAGACCGCAATTTTATTGAAAATGGGATCTTACTAAGAGAGAACAATTCAATATTTAAATGATAAAATTACATTTTTTGTGTATCCTTTTGTTGAACTGTCTGTTTAAAATTAATCGAAGCATCAGACTAAAAAAGCTTTTGAAAATAATATTATATTTTGATTTAGGTCAAAATATAATATTTGTAAACCTGAAGAGTCAGAGCCTCACCAGCCATGAACCTCACTGCAGAAGCTTATAGACATCTAAGTTTTTTGTGCCCCACCACTTTTGTACATATAAAAACGCCACTGGTCGTTTATAACTGGGATATTACAAGTATTATTAACTTTGTCTGTACAAAGTAGCCTGTCCAGGAAATATGCCCAAATCAACAAAAACTGCGAGCCGACAGGCAAGACGCTCCGCTTCTGAAACGCGCCCGGTAGGGTATGACGCCGGAGGAGGCCGGACCAAAACCGCGGCGTAGCCGTACGCGCCGCAGACCCGGTGGAATCTAGGGGTTAGGGACTGTTGGACCAGCCACTATTGCACTGTTTTGCAATTCTTGTGTAACCAATATAGATTCAATCATGCTGGAATCATCAAGCTAGCTAAGTCTGCCTTAGTGTTAATGCTAACATGATTAGAGAAAATGTGCCAACCAAAGTCGTCACTTATCTACCGACAGAAATGTGCTTTCCCAAGCGAGTTGTGTAGATGAAGAACAATACTTACATGTTTTATTAAATCTGGCTCTCTTTGTGTAACGTTACCACTCAGCTGCTTGTTGAAGTTGTTAAAACCTCACTTATGTGAGTCCAAAACTTGCCACCAGTCAGTTTATATGGAAGTTACACTGTTTTGATTGTTTCAATAGTAAAGGAACACATACAAATTACAACTGGCCTGACCAAGTTGTAATGTTGATTTGAATGTGAATCTCTGTTCTGCTCTCATTCTATTTCTAAGATAAGTTTGTGTGTTCATGGCAATAAGGGAACACCGAGTGACTTGGCTGTCTGTGGTCCGCTACTCCTGACTGCATTTTGAACTCCCCACTGTCCCCCCGACTGTCCCTCCATGATCTTTGCCTCTATCGGACCTCACTTCCTGAACCTTCTCTCTGCAGTGTGCTCATGCAGGCTGCCTCATGGAGCTGTGCATCCAGCTGTGCATCACTATGCTGGGCAAGCAGCTCATCCAGAACAACCTGTTTGAGATTGGCATGCCGTGAGTACATGACTTCCACTGTGCAACATATATACCCACGAAGCTAACACAGTGAACAACATTTCCACACACAATGCGTCGGTTCAGCAAGCCCCAGAACAAATATTGCACTCCCACTCAGTTGTACTTTTGCCCGAGAGAAATCATTTAAAGGCCTGTCTGGTTTTCAGACGCACTTACCTGGGAACTAGACAGCATTATGCCGAACTCTCTCAGCCTTCAATGTTCTCTGTCTTGCTTCATCCGTACAGAACTCTGTAATGGAAGCCTATTTTCCTTTTTGTGTGGTTCCCTTTCTTTATGACGTGGTACAACAAAAGCACAGTTCTCCACTGTGTCACATATATCATTTTTAGACCTAAGTACATTCTGTCCATGAAAGAGTTCTGTATCAGCAAGGGGAAACCACATGCTCTTGTATTTTCTATAATAGTCAAGGAGAAAATGACCTTTGTCTGGATTTATCATGAGAGCCTTGAGACTTTAAAACCATACTCCACGAACAAATGGTGTTGCTATGGTGATTACATCCATAACCAATTAACCACCAATAATCCAGGTGGCATGTTTCACGAGGATGAAGATGGATCAATTGGAAAAAAGACTTTCAATTTATTTCACAACATTGAGTTATACAAAGAGGTATTTATTTGATTTTGTCCAGCCATATATATCAATAAGGGTAGGCAAAAATAAACGATTACCCAATGCAGCAACGTCACATTGCCAAGGAATCTTCATGTAGGGAGGTTTTTTACCCTGTTGCATTAGACTGCATTAGTTTAGCATCCATGTAATGGGTCCTTTTTATCAAAAGAAAAGACTCTGTTAACAATGTGTTGTTCCCATACTTGTATGTATGTACAGGAAGCTGAAGAAACTGCTCCGGAGGAGGAAGTCAGAGTTGGACTCAAAGCAAGAGGAGGAGCTGAACAAAACCCTGCAGCGGCACGAGAAGGACCACAACCTGGGTCCCTTCGTCGGCCTCAGCCCCGAGTACATGGAGATGAGTGAGTCTGAACACAAGGCAGTTGAACACACATAACACACATAGCATGCACACTGATGCTCTGTTGGGATTGGTTATGTCTCCGCGCTGACAACTTCTGGTCCCGAGGCTACAGTATATGTTTTCTGGTTGTCTGTCTGTCACGTGATATTTCATTATCACCTTGAGGGAATTCTTTAAAATTGCTCACAAAGGTTGAACTCAGGGATGAAATGATGGGATGTTGGTGGTAGAAGGAAAAGCTCACTGTGACTAACAAAACCTGTTTCTAGCCTAACTTATGAAATTCTATTTATTACATTTCACACAAATGTCTAATAAGATACAATTAAGAAGTGATGACTTTTTGGTCATTTGTAAAATACAACTTGACTGGTGGAGGTTTTATTTTGTTATTTGATGGTTGCTGAACATGAAATAGACACACCGACTGTCCTCAGGAGCAGTCTGTAGTTCGATCCTTGTTGATCTTGCTCTTCACCTCAGTGATGCATTATCCAGCTGACTAACAGCAGAGGTTCTCAGCCTCATCGCTGACAGAGTGGTGCCCCCCACCCTGACTCAAGAACATCCCATTTGAAGGTCAAATCTAACAAGCATAATGTTTGCGAGCACTTTGAAACAAACACTATGTGCAACAAACACATATAGTGTCAGCACAATATGTTAGCTTTAAGAAACAAGTAGGCTTAGATATTCCATTGAGCTGTAATACAAGTACATGTTCGCTTTGAAGTCAACTGTGTTGACTTTAATTGTATAAAGATATAATTTAGCAGCACACGGACAGTCAGTCAGTGTCACGATTCTCATGTTATGTCACGTTTCTAGTTTTGTAGGTTTGGGTGTTTTGCTGTTCTCCTTGTCATGTTTTCCTCCTGGTTTATTGTCTGGTCCTTCTCCCTGTGTTTTTCCCCTGTCGTTAGTTTCCCTGGTGTGTCTAGATTGTGTTCACCTGTCGCCTTGTGTTTCTCCTTCCCTGCCCGGCTGTTTCTCGTCTTGTGATTACCCCTACCTGTATTTAGTCTTGTCTCTTCCTGTGTTCAGTGTTGGTTCGTCTTTTGTTGGTGACCGAGTTCACCGTGGAGTGTTCTGTTTTGTCCAAGTTATTTTCATTATCCTTGAAATAAAGGTTAATCAGAGTTATCTGCATTTGGGTCCTGCTTCCTTCACTCAACCGTAACAGTCAGTCATGTGGAAAACTTGGATTTATCATTCTTCATGTGCACCAGGGATGTCCGTGCATGCATGTGTTTAATTAAGTCGTTTTAATTTGGCTCATGGAAACTGCGGTCATGTAATTGCTCTTTTTTTAATCTAATCAAGCCGTTGATCCATAATTCCCAAGGAGGAAGAAGATCCATATCACTTAATGAAGGATGTCAGAAGCTTATCCCAATACAACTGAGAGAGGATTAAAACTGCTTCAAGCTCAATACTTCTACTTCTTGTGCCCTTTTTAGGATACTCAATTACACTTTACATCATTTCTAATTGGCAAATAAATGCTCTATGAGGCTGTACTTGATTCCTTTGAGCTAAATGCTGACAACATTTCATGGCAATCCATTAAATTGTTGATGAGATTGTTCAGTCTGTACCAAAGTGGCAACCAACTGAAAACCTTATACTAAATAAACATTGAAAAATAATAAGGGAATCTCAAAATGCATTCTATCACCATCTTTAGCCAGACCATTCTATGTGCTGGTGCATTCACTTCAAATGTTCAGGACTAGTGTGGGCTATATTATTATTTCCTTTAAGGCCCTGTCACACTGTCCCGAAATTGACACCCGATGGACACACGATAAAGGAAATGTTCAAATTCGGCTGTGATCGTAGCAAAATCGGGCCATTCGTGAGGGCATCTTAAGCCATCGTATGACCGCCGGTGGAGTTTCTCAGGCTCCGGCAGCAACTTCGTGAGCGGCAACTTCGTAAGGCACTCGTGAGGGCATCTTGTCAAATCGTGTCATCTTCGTGTTATCATCGGTGCATTCACCCTCACTCTGATCGGGGCAAATGCCCGATGGCACCGATGATAACAAGATGCCCTCACGATGGTCTTACGAAGGGCACAATTGACACACGAATTCAACACGAAAATGAACCTTCGCAAGATCCTTCGGCAATTTTTTGGCATGCCAAAGATTTTGCCACCGCTCACGAAGTTGCTGCCGGAGCCTGAGAAACTCCACCGGCGGTCATACGAAGGCTTAAGATGCCCTCACAAATGGCCCGATGTTGCTACGATCACAGCCGAATTTGAACATTTCCTTTATCGTGTGTCCATCGGGTTGTTTTATTGCACAACAAAATCATGTAAATATATTATGTAAATAACCCAATTTGTGTTCTGTGAAACTAAAAAGGATATAATATATTATTTTGAAGGACAGTTGACAGGAAGTTGTTGTTGTTATGGAAACAACATTACAGAGAAAACGTAATATTTTCTACATATAACGACGGATAAAGTAAAGAACAAAGTCTGAAGATATCAGTACAGTATCATAGTACTGTAACATAATTGTTTTTGGTACTTTCATTGCAGTTGTATGTCTTAAATGTAATGTAAATGTTGCCTTCATGTGTGGTTCGGGGCCATCTTCGTGCGAAATTCACAATTCCATATTCGTGTGTCCATCGGGTGTCAATTTCGGGACAGTGTGATACGGCCTTTAATGAATGGCCATGTTCAGTCGGTACAGATGGGATTTCAGTCTGTGATGGAAGATGTGTACACTTTCAGCTGTCATGATAAACACTATATTCATTTGAGTTCAATCTGTCCAACTCTGACAGCAGAAGATAATACTATAATATATATATTTTTATAGAGCCCTTTTCAGGGTACTCTGACACTCCACAGGTAACATTAATTAAAACACAATTAAAACAACTCTTACAATAACACATGGCAAATAGAAGTTGAAATTAAGGTCACATCAAAATAAAAAGTAAGTTCTAGTTTTTTTTATCATTTGAAATCATAAATGTTGGCGAACCGGAGCTAACCCGGAGAAAACCAATGACTGAGATCACAGAAGGAAGTTGGGCGGAGTTAAACCTTACTCTCTTACAGTAAAGCCTCAAACAGCTCAGACTCCCCTCTGGTCAGCTCACAGGGACGTACATCCTGAAGACTCGTTGGAGTGTGGGGACCCCTGGGTGCTGTTGAAGCCTCTCTGGGTGCCTGGAGGGCTCCACAGGTCAGACAGCTCCTGCAGCCCCTGAAAGAGCTGAGAGACGAGCTCCAGGCTGGCTCCCTCCTTCTCCTCTACCATGGCACCATCGCCTTCCTTGGCGTTTTTCAGCTCTTGAACTTTGCGTCTCAGCTTCTCCCTCAGTTGGAGTGCGGCGTCTCTCTCTGCTGTGATGGCTTCGTTTTTGGCCAACACACCGTAATAGTTTCTGGACCTGCTGTGATTGAGAAGGACCTCAATGTTTTTGCGGAGGAAATAGTTCTCATCGCTTATTTTGTCCTTTTCCATATCCAGCTCCTCACATTCGCTGTCCAAAGCGTTCCTCGCTCTGATCCTGGTGTCCAGAAACTGATGTTGCTGCCTGAGAGCTTCATGCTCGCTGGAAATGGAATCCGCCTCAGCCTTGACCTGGTCACAACGGTTGGCCGGCAGGCGTTGGTGTCTCTCTGTCAGTTCTCGGACTCTGCGTTGGAGGATGTCAGTTTGTCTCAGCTTGGCCGGTTTTTCCGCTGTCATACGTGCACACTCGGCCATTTTACTTTCTTCATCCGCAAGTGTTTGGGTTAGTTCCTGGACCCGTGTTTTCAGGGAAGTGTTGCGTTCGGTGACGCTAATACACTCCTCCTGCAATCGTTTACGTTTGTCTTCCTGTTTCCTCCCACCTTTCTTGCGGATTTCCCTTAGTGTGGTCTGAATCTGCCTTTCCAGCGCATCGTTTTCCCGGCTCTTTGTGGTGTTTTCACGTTTTATTTTCTCAAATTCACTAAGCAGTCTTTCGTGGTCTGTGAATCTTCCGTTTATCTCCACGATTTCACTCTGCAGCAGCCAATTTTCCTGGAGGAGTTTTTGCTTCTCCTCCTCAACAGCCCTACATTTTTCCTGCAAGGCTGTTTGAGTCTGGAGTTTGATGCGGAATTCCTCCACTTGCCTTTCAAGATTTCTATTGAAATCTTTTGCTGCTTTCCTCTCTTTCTGTAGGTCTTTCAACTGCTTTTTAAAATCTTGACTGTTCACAAGCTGAGTGCTAAGCTCAATTATTTGCACACTCAAGCCAGCATTCTGTTGGTTGATGGCTCCTGTCTCCATACTTAGAGACAAAACGTTGTGGGACAGACTATTTTGTCCCTCCAGGGTTTCACTTCCCTGGAGGGTGGTCTCGTCCCTGCTGGACTCCTGAGACATTTTGTGTTCAGACTTCCTCTACTTTTTATAGCACCGAATATAATATAGTAGAAGCAGCAGTCTGAAGTACGGGTTTGTTAAAGTAACGTACGGGTCTCCTGAGAAGATACTGTTACTGGAAAATGTGTGTATCTGAGTATGTCAGTCAGGGTATATTCAAACGTTCAAAGCCTAGAATTGTTACCATGACATCCCTGGAACTGCCTTTGTGCTGTCATCATATTCCAAAAGCATTTAGCTCCGCCCAGAATTAAGAAGCGTGGAATGTGATGACATCATTACATCATAAGTATGTGCTTCTGATAAAAAAAAAGAATAAAATGGATGGCTTTGGTTATATTACATACATTGTGATATAGAGATTTTTATATTGATTTTAAAGATATATTGGGGGCTTTATTGGAGATGCAGTGTGTGTGCTGTGTCATCCTTACACGCTTACTTGAAATAATGTACATTTTTGCAATAAAAGGTCTAAATCTACACCTAAATGATATACTTTGTTGAGTTGTGTATTTACTTTATTCCAACTGTTCATATCATTTTCAAGTACAGAGAAATGTGCGATCTAAATCAAGATAAAGGTTTATGTCATTTGCCTGTAATGGCAACATATCCCTTTTGAGCATGATTCAATGTAGCAATGTCTACCAGAAGCTGGGATAATATCATCTTACACCCTACTACATACTTTTTGTGTTTGTTGATTTTACACATATATTTTAACAGATTAAAGGATTTTAGTAATTTAGCATCTGGATCTTAAGTGACCAATTTTCCTATATTAACGAAGTTTTTTCAATGTATTTATTTCATTTATATATATATATATATCATTTGTAGTATAGGGGCATTGGCATATCCAAGCATCTTTTGGACCCGACACATTCCACCCAAACTTAGTTGATACAGTTGAACAGTATAGCATTCCAATACTACACTGTTAATGTCCAGTAGTCCAGGTCAGTAGCAGAAGCGAGTGTGACAATTCAGTAACTCCTGCTCATGTTTCCCCTGTTCTGTGTCTTCAGTCATCCAGTTTGGGATGGTAACTCTTTTCGTGGCCTCCTTCCCTCTGGCTCCTCTCTTCGCTCTCCTGAATAACATCATTGAGATCCGCCTGGATGCCAAGAAGTTTGTCATGGAGCTGCGCAGGCCGATTGCAGCCAAGGCCAAAGACATTGGTAGGTGACCCCCTGATCTGCCCCCCTATATCAACTTTATTTTATTGTAAAAAAATCCAGGAGAATAGCCTGTGCAGGAGGAGACGAGAGGTTCAATCACAATAAAAACTAGAAGGACATGTACATACATAAAGGCATGTCAATATTGATTTATAACCAAAATGATTAGCAGTCTTAAAAATGAAGGTGTTAACATGTCATTGTGAAAGCAAATATTCTTAGACTACCCTTAAATGTGCCAGACATCCAGAACATTTTAAATGTTAATAATAATAATAATGATAGTTACCTTTTATTTGTTAATTGTCTTAAAACAAAACAAACTGCTTAACTTAAACAAACAATCATAATAAGTGATACAATAAACCTCACAAATATATATCTTACTCAGACCATCAATAGGAAATGAGAATCCAAACCTGCAGTTTGGTCCTGCTCAACTGCAACAACACAAAACATGGGGAAGTTTGACCAACTCTGTACTGGGGCCATCTAGTGGTGGCTGGTAGTAACTGATTACAATAATAATATAATGTGCACCTGGAATGACTACTTTTTGATAATGTCAAAAAAATATTAAAATCCTGGAAAAGGGCATATTGTCTGTTTGCACAATAGCAGGAACATTAATAAGAGGGGGTTCTGGGGTCTCCCTCAGGAACACTCGGTTTCCTTCAAGATTTCTGCTCATGTTCAAAACTTTCTGCACATTTTCCAACATTTCTGTTTACTCTGGGAAAACACAAATCAATTGTAATATTATGATATCAAGTCTTATTTTATAGAGAATGAATTCATAATAATCCAAGAACAAATCTACCCACCCTTACGATTGCTGTGCATTATCACACAAATAACAAAGAATAAAAACATTTTATAATTTACATGAAACACCAAATAACTAGATGTCTTAGTTATTTTACTTAGTTATAAGCCAACATCAACATATAAATACCAGCACATTCTCTCAGGTTTTACCTACCATTATAATGCTTAGGTGCTGCACCCATTTTGGCTCCACCTAGCTAAATGAATGTAAAATCAACAGGCAGAGCATCAATGTTAAATACATATCTTTTACCAGATACAATGGTTGTAGTTGTTCCTGAGTGGACTTCTGCAGGTTTTGTCTTTAGGCTATTTGAGTGTTTATTCATTGTCTGCTCTAGCTTTACCAAACTCTTGAACAAACATATTGTAGCAATAATAAAATGATCAGAAATAGCATTTCTTTTTTTCAGTAGTGTAGAATTGTAGGGAAACCCTTAAATACCCTTCATGCACTGAGGGCTTCCAAACAGCTTAATTCATTCAAATTAATAATAACAAAAAGAAGTAGTCAAACTTATGAGTTGCTTAAATTCCATTTAGTTGCACCATGGGATGAATGTCAGTATAAGCTCAGCTGGAAGCATGTTCCAATAGGATGAGGGAGTTAGGGTAAGTGTAAATGTAAAAGCAGATTAAACAAAGGCATTGGGCCTTATGGGATGTGTAAATCTGAGTGTAGAGCAGATTAAGAGGTTCTGCAAATATGCTTAGTAACATTGTCAAAACTATTGAATACCAATTGACCTTCTGAAAAAACCTGAGGAGGCCAGTCTGCAGGAGCTGAAGCCCCCTTTAAGGTCTGTGTGTGCATGTCCCAGTTGAAGCTCCTGTTTCCCAGCTTAATGGCAGACCTTCTGTCTTTCTGCAGGCATCTGGTACAACCTCTTGAGAGGCCTCAGCAAGGTAGCAGTCATCGTAAATGTAAGTCCTTTACCGTCACTGCACTGTTGTACTTCAAAAACATGTCTGAAGAATAAAAATGTCAGATTATGGAGATTTTCTTCCTCTGTAATTCAAAATAACAAAGACAAATTAAGGGAATGCGCTGATTAGCAGTTCTCTGCCCCCAGGCCTTTGTCATCTCCTTCACCTCGGACTTCATCCCTCGGCTGGTGTACCAGTACATGTACAGCCTGGACGGCACCATGCACGGCTTCGTCAACCACACCCTGTCGTACTTCAACGTCAGCGACTTCCAGCCCGGCACAGCCCCTCTCCAGCCAATGCACCTGGGCTACAAAGTAGAAATATGCAGGTAACATTTAACTTTATATCCAGGACCACTTCACCAAAAGTGATATATTTAAAGGAGATTTATTGGACACATTTGAACGTTCATTCTAGTTTTTTTCACACGTATTGATTTTCAAAAAACACATTATTTATCTCATACATATACAGTGGGGCAAAAAAGTATTTAGTCAATCAATCAATCAATCAATCAATCAGTCAGCCACCAATTGTGCAAGTTCTCCCACTTAAAAAGACGAGAGAGGCCTGTAATTTTCATCCTAGGTACACTTCAACTATGAGAGACAGAATGAGAAAGAAAAAAATCCAGAAAATCACATTGTCTGATTTTTAAAGAATTCATTTGCAAATGATGGTGGAAAATAAGTATTTGGTCAATAACAAAAGTTCATCTCAATACTTTGTTATATACCCTTTGTTGGCAATGACAGAGGTCAAACGTTTTCTGTAAGTCTTCACAAGGTTTTCACACACTGTTGCTGGTATTTTGGCCCATTCCTCCATGCAGATCTCCTCTAGAGCAGTGATGTTTTGGGGCTGTCGCTGGGCAACACAGACTTTCAACTCCCTCCTAAGATTTTCTATGGGGTTGAGATCTGGAGACTGGCTAGGCCACTCCAGGACCTTGAAATGCTTCTTACGAAGCCACTCCTTTGTTGCCCGGGCGGTGTGTTTGGGATCATTGTCATGCTGAAAGACCCAGCCACGTTTCATCTTCAATGGCCTTACTGATGGAAGGAGGTTGTCACTCAAAATCTCACGATACATGGCCCCATTCATTCTTTCCTTTACACGGATCAGTCGTCCTGGTCCCTTTGCAGAAAAACAGCCCCAAAGCATGATGTTTCCACCCCCATGTTTCACAGTAGGTATGGTGTTCTTTGGATGCAACTCAGCATTCTTTCTCCTCCAAACACGTCTAGTTGAGTTTTTACCAAAAAGTTCTATTTTGGTTTCATCTGACCATATGACATTCTCCCAATCCTCTTCTGGATCATCTAAATGCTCTCTAGCAAACTTCAGACGGGCCTGGACATGTACTGGCTTAAGCAAGGGGACACGTCTGGCACTGCAGGATTTGAGTCCCTGGCGGCGTAGTGTGTTACTGATGGTAGCCTTTGTTACTTTGGTCCCAGCTCTCTGCAGGTCATTGACTAGGTCCCTCCATGTGGTTCTGGGATTTTTGCTCACCGTTCTTGTGATCATTTTGACCCCACAGGGTGAGATCTTGCGTGGAGCCCCAGATCGAGGGAGATTATCAGTGGTCTTGTATGTCTTCCATTTTCTAATAATTGCTCCCACAGTTGATTTCTTCACACCAAGCTGCTTACCTATTGCAGATTCAGTCTTCCCAGCCTGGTGCAGGTCTACAATTTTGTTTCTGGTGTCCATTGACAGCTCTTTGGTCTTGGCCATAGTGGAGTTTGGAGTGTGACTGTTTGAGGTTGTGGACAGGTGTCTTTTATGCTGATAACGAGTTCAAACAGGTGCCATTAATACAGTTAACGAGTGGAGGACAGAGGAGGCTCTTAAAGAAGAAGTTACAGGTCTGTGAGAGCCAGAAATCTTGTTTGTTTGTAGGTGACCAAATACTTATTTTACCGAGGAATTTACCAATGAATTCATTAAAAATCCTACAATGTGATTTCCTGGATTCTTTCCCCCCATTTTGTCTCTCGTAGTTGAAGTGTACCTAGGATGAAAATTACAGGCCTCATCTTTTTAAGTGGGAGAACTTGCACAATTGGTGGCTGACTAAATACTTTTTTGCCCCACTGTATATATCATATATAGCATATATATCTATATTCACCCTTGGTTTGAAATGTTCCGTTTTGGCGCCTGTTTCTTTAAAGGTCCCATGTCATGGCCATTTCCACTGATCATAATTCCATTGTTGAGGTCTACTAAAATGTATTTATATTGTGCAATTTTCCAAAATCACATTGGTTTCTCACACAGCATCTCTGTATAGTATGTGTATTCACTCTCTGTCCTAAACGGCTTGTTGGAGCTCCTGCCCCCCCCCTCCCTGTGAGCCCAGTGGCCGTCTGCGAGACAGCGAAACCCAGCCCGAGCTCACACACACACCCGCAGCCTGGCTGGGAGTTTGTGTGTGTGCTCACACACACAAACTCCCAGCCTCGCCGCATCCCGCCGTCTCAGGCGGAACAATCGGCAGAGCTGCAGCTGAGAAAAGATTGAGTGTGTGACGGCTCCGCGGACGTAGCATTTGGACCAATCCGCAGAGCCGTTACGTTACGTCACTATACCCAAATACGTCACTGTACCCAGGAAGAAAAAGAGAAATCTCCAACGAGGTGTTCTGGGCATAGACAGCATAGACAGGTATTTTCTGTGTTAGAGTTTTACTCGCTACAGGGTGTACTTTGAGGGTTTGTGACTCTGCAGACCGTTTACATGCAGAACAACCTTCATCACACACAAGGGGACGGGTAATAACCAAAAAAGCATGACATGGGACCTTTAAGCCCATTCTACTCTGATTGGTCAGTGTTTCAGAGGGGTCTGTATCCGTGGCATTGGCATCTCTGCCAAGCCCAGAGGAAGTATACAACACAGGGTTTTGAAGCAAGCTACGTGGCCATTTTGGCCAAAAGGGGAAATATTAAATAACAGCTCAGTCATTTGATTCCATTGAGCCCAGAGAGAATTGTTCTCATTGATTTACATTGGAAAACACACATCAGTAAATCAGCGTATGATTTGTCTTTGAAGTACACCTTTTTGAATCGTCTTAAAGGTTCCCTATTATACTCTTTTTCAACAATATATTACAGGTCTCAGATATGTACAGAACATGTCTCTGAAGTGTTTGACTGAAACACCAAACAGATCATTGTAGCATCCCATAAACCCCTCTGTTTCAGCCCTGTTCCAAAAGTGCTGATTCTGTAACTTTAAATGCTAATGAGCGGCTGCGGGCAGCGCCCCACTGAGATGATTGGTTACTAAAAACACAATGGTGCTCTAGGAGGAGATCCAGGTGATAAGGTGGGTGGGGGTTACCTTGGTTGGTTATAATGGTTGCACAACCCAAAGAACATTGTGACATCACAAAGTGGCCAAAATCTGATCAGCTAATTTTCAGACAGGTTTCTATATAGATGGATCAGGACAAAAAGAGAAAGAATATTTTCCCAATCTCTTATCACAGAGGGAAACATATTTATTGATGAAAGACATGAAAAGTGGATTTTGCAATAGGTGACCTTTTAAAAAGCGCTAACATCTGAATCTACAGTTATTTCCCCTCCTCCATTCACACGATGGAGTCAAGATCAGACATCACTGAGCAGCCTGGAAGGGGGGATTGAGGAAAGCTTAAGGGCGGATGACCTTTGGGGCCCATGGATGTAAAAGATCGCCGGAACATCCTGGGAATTTTGTACTTGAACTTGCCATTTTGGCTTCATGTGCAACTTAGCACATTTTTTGTGACATTACAGCTCTATTGGTGTCCTGATGGTTCATAATTCAAAATTCAAACAATACTAAAACTCCTCCCATTCTCAGGAGGACATTTTCAAAGTCTTATTCTCATGGCCTGACCTCCTAAACTAGAACTGTTATACAGTAAAACCATGAACTATTAAACAGCATCGTCGTCTGTATTTCTGTCCTTTGTACTATTGATGATCTCCATTTCTTTAAGGGGAATAGGTTAGATTGACAAGCATCAAATGTAAATTGCATTTCTTAATAAAGATGTGTTCTGTGTCCAGGTATAAGGACTACAGAGAGCCTCCCTCCTCCAGCTCACAGTATGAACTCTCCAAAGAGTTCTGGGCGGTTCTGGCCGCTCGCCTCGCCTTCGTTGTTGTCTTTCAGGTTTGGAACAACACACAGATATTAATATCACACACACCGTGTGCTTCAACATGCTTTCACACAGTCACTTACTTTAATCATTCATATTTGATGTGGGTAAAGAAAGCAAACGTGCAAACAACTCATCCATATTTGATGAGGTGTGTGAGTGAGGGATTCTCTGCAGACTTTAATATGAAAGGTCTTTAAAGGGAACAGGCTGTCTGCTTCCCTTCAGTTCATTTGAATTATCTTGATTTTTATTTTAACTTGATTAATTAAAAAAATGTCTCCAAACAAGGAGATTACCACTGTCAATTTAAAATAAAACAATAACTTGCTATTTGTTATCATGCCTATTAGCTATGCCTTATTTACATTTCTAACCTACAGTAAATCAAACCATGTTGTCCCTGGCATATATCTTTTGACATCTGCTCTGTTTTGGTTGGACTTCCTTTCTGAAATGTATTTGTAGATTTTAATTTACTTATACAATCTGTTAGCAGATGGTCAGCTTCTCAAAAAAACGTATCTGCTTTTTGAGAAAATGTTTCATGAGACAGTGTCTACCTTGGAGTGTTTGTCCACTGCGGTGCACCAACTAGTTTATTGTTATACTGTAAAATGTCCCGTTTAGGATGTATCTTTACAATAGAAATAATATTCTTTAAAAATTATCGTGACAAATCTTTTTTAACTTGTTCTTAAGCCAAAATCACTAAGGCAAAACAGTTTGGATCAAACATATTCAATAATAACTCAACAGGAAAAAAAAGCTAGGATAGCTAATGTAGTGGACCTCATTGCTTTTGCTGCTAACCTACAAAAATGACTCTTTCAAATGAAAAGAAACACATCCTCATCCTAACAATGATTAGTTGAGATACAACTTGTTCTGGATTGACCAGTAACCAATGATGGCTTAAGTTAGCTGTTTAAAAGACATTACTAATTAAGTTCAAGTCTCCTCTACTTCTGCTACCAGGCATGGCAGAGGATCTTCAGGCACAATGCTTCAGTAATGACGGGCAATAGGAAGACACTGATATTGTACTGCTGAGATACTGCTTGCCATAAACTGTGTTTAATATAACTCACAGATCATATAATACTTAGTAAGCACACAATTAGAAAAAGTACCACATAAGCTTTAGATAAGATGTATTAGACACAGGTTTCTTCTTTTTTGTTTGTTGATGTTATTGATTAGTAAAACAGTAGTCGAAAAAGGGCCCTTCTTTGAGGTCTATCTGGGCACAAAAAAGGGTCTCAGCATGTCACAAATAAACAACAGTTGGACAATAGTTATTTAGCTTGGCTTTATGTTACTAGGCTAGGCTGTGTGCTTCCATGCTTTATTTCTGAGGTGTTCCCATCTTCTCTCTGGCCCCCCTCTGCAGAACGTGGTGATGCTCATGAGTGACTTTGTGGACTGGCTGATCCCGGACATCCCCAAGGACATCAGTCTCCAGATGCACAAGGAGAAGATTCTCATGGTGGAGCTCTTCATGAAGGAGGAGCAGGGCAAAAGGCTTGCAGCGCGGGACAACCACAACCAGGACAACTGCAACTCCCCCTCCTCTGCGACGCAGACCCCCCCGCAGCCGCGCTCCAGAACCGCCACGCACGCAGTCGGGTGGGAAAACAAGCACAAGCAGCCAGAAGAAAACCCAGCACCTATATATAAACTGTAAATACGCTACTTTAAGACAGCTGTTAAAGACCTTAAACACATGATCAGTTTTTAATAATCAGCAAAGCTTTGCTGCGTTCATGTTGTTTGGTAATACTTGCAGTAATTAACCTGCAGTTCAAACATTAACGTGTTAGCAGTATAACTAATTGTTTGCCTCTTTTTATCTTTTTTCCCTTTTTCCCATGTAAAGAGCAAGCCATACATTAGGCATACATCTAGCCAGTGGTTAAACAATACTCTTGGATTTAGAATCGCAAACTGTGTTTGAAGGGAACAAGCCATTAGTTCACTTGACTCTGGGAAAATTCCTTGTCAATGGGATCTTCATTCAGGATGTCCAAACCCAACCCAACCTGCAACTTAATATGAATATTTTTGAGCAGTACTGTAGGTTCATAACTGCCACCTTTCTCACGGGACTTGAATGCAGCTTTTATATTAAAGACAGCCTCCGTCCAAATGGCCCTGCTGAGAAGAATTCCCTCCCAACACAACAGGAAGTCCTTTCTCCTGCCAACACTAAAGCTCAGAGGCCTTTTACCCCGTGTCTTTGCAGAGTTATATACAAATGCAAGATTGTATTGATGTACTGTTTTTAATGCGCAACATGGTCTAGCACATGTGTTTTGTTTATTGAGATGAACACCAGAAGGTTTTGGAAGAACTTCTGTGTCATCAATTTGTACTCTTGTTTTGTACGAGCACCATTTTGCTCATTGTTACATTTGTTATATTTTGACTATGTACAAACTGTCAAACAGTGCTCAGTGGCATTATTCCTGGAAGCACAAGTCACATTATTTTTCATTCCAATTAACTGGAGTCTTAAAGCTGTATTTGGCTAGATTTAGAGGATAAACACAAAGTGACGTCACGCTCCTCTCGCTGAGATGATATACTGTAGTGTAGATACTTCGGGTGTGCCCTAATAACCACGAGAGAAATATTTTCAACACAAGTTTTTAATGAAAATGATTCCTTAAGCTTTATAAATAGATTGTTTAGTGATTATCTTATGGAAGTTGTCAGCACAACAAGTTGAAAACCACAGACTGAATATCAAAGTAAATGTACAGAAGTTACCGTGACATCAGCCATTGGTTTGTAGACTACTGTTTCATGCCTCAAATGTTCCATTTTGGTTGTCACCATTTTGGTTTGCATGATCCATGGAGGAGAGGTACTTTAGGAGCTGGAGAGGAGGGAGGCCAGGCGATGCTAGGTACTGTTAGCATGACAAGCACTAAATTACCAGCTAACGCTAGTGCTGGTTTGATAGCTTGGTTAGCAAGGTCGATCTGTAATTCATGTTAACTTACCTGCTTTCATTAACAGGGCGCCAATGAATACTTACGTTGCAAAAAATACAGAGTTTGTTAGCATAGTGAAGTAGTGCGTAATCAAGGGAGTTGTTGTCTTAACCACCATTGCCGCTGCACTGCACTCATTTTCTCCTGAAAAATCTTGCGGATGTGAATCCCTAATATCCAGGAGGGTCCACTTGTATAGAAGTCTCTAGGAAAATGAATTTCACTCAATGAAATACCACAGTAAATCATTTTCTAGTGAGTTATCTCAATCACTAGCTCCAAATAGCATGATGTTTATTTTGTAAATGATTTTGAGTACATGGAAGTTAATTGTAATGGTTTGATTGCCTGAAATGTTTCTTCTTCAGTATTTGGTTTTATTATACTTCACTAGGGATGGGTATCGAGAACTGGTACTAAGTCAGTACCGGTACCTGATTGGACGGTATTGGTATACCGTTAAGCCGCTGGTGCTGCTATCGGTATATGAATTACGCTACCTCCTTAGTTTAAATAATTCTGGTTGGTTGGGAACCCTCATCCCGTGTGACGTATCCGGTTTGAGTACCACTCTGATTGGCCACTGTGAATGTCACTCGTCATCTCTCCTAACAGCATTCTTATTGTTGTGAGACTCCCGGGGGCAGACCATAGCAGGGGCAGGGGCAACATCTTGCTAGAAACAGCATCTCAAGGCTTCTTAACATTTAACAACCTAATAATGATGCATACCCACTTAACGGGAAGAAACTCAGCTAACAGACGATATTAACCATTTGACCTACACGGAACAGAAGTCCAACACCAAGAGTCTAAATCAACACTTAGCAAAACGGGCTAACGGGGCTAACGGCTACTTTAGCACATAACTGGCAAAAGCGATCTTTTCTAAGTCATTTTATCATTTTATCTGCACAAACAACATATCACATGAAAGCTGAGATTCCATTGGTGTAACTGTACGACCAAAACTCACTGAACTAGCAGCCAGGAAAGAGCAAGAAAACAACTTCACTTTACGTAGCCATGATGATAATGATGTCTTACCTTTGCTGTTTTGTGATCAAGGGCATAAAAACGGTTAATCCAATGTCTCTGTGTAACTTTAAAATAATTACTGATAATCCATCATTACAATTATAAATAATAAACGGATTATAATGGTTAGCTGACGGGAGCTTCCGGTTTAGGATGTGCGCACCCTGCGTCTCGTTTTAACTGAATAATGGTCATATTTACATGGATTTATGAACTGCCCCTAATTACCGCCCCCCTTCCAGAGACACACTGTCAAACACACTCATACCTGCTTGGTATGACATTGAAAAAGTTACATTAAATAATATATAAAAATAAATTACAATAAAATGACAGTTGTTTAATCTTCACATCTTGTAATCATGTCTATAATTTTGAGCACCAAATTATTGAAAAGTATCGATAAGAGTATTGAAAAATACCGGTATCGATCAAATCCTAACGATACCCATCCCTATACTTCACCCTCTCTCTCCAAGATGATGAGGCCAAGAAACCAGATGGCCGAAAGTGCTACATTTGAGGCTTCAACACCATGCAACCTTTGTGGCCACCTTTCTCACGGGACTTGAATGCAGCTTTTATATTAAAGACAAAAAAGCTTCCTTATTATGTGTCACTAGCCAATGGGTGGTTGCTATATCCACTTTTTGTTTGCAGTCTGCTTCCAGTTAAGATTGGTCATCGTTTAGAAGGTTTTTACCATGATCCAAATTATCAGCAGAGGTGTCCTCTCTACAATGAGGGTCAGAAGCTAACTGCTTCTAAGTTCCAAATGTCCCTTAAACTAAATTCTTCATTAGGTATAAATATATATAGTTATAACAAACAAAATCTCAAGAAGATCTTAAAAAATGTGGCAAAAAATCCGTTTTGACCGCATTTGCAAAGGGGAAACACCATTACAGATGACTTAAAGAAAACGGTTAAGGACTTCTGTATATTTGAAAATGGTTGAAAACATTTTGCATATTGTATGTACACAACTAAGCAAAGTATGTTACGTAGAACTAGTCTTTTTTATAGACATTTTATTTGCGGAAATGTTACATTTTATACATTTAAAGTTGTGCACTGAAGATGGATTTCAATGTTTAAAGTCACGTGTAGTGGTACAAATATGTCCATCGTGTTCTTATATAAAATCAGAAAACTGCATCTTGAAACAAATTTGATTGGTGAATGGAACCACACTGATAGCACTATGGGCTCATTACTTAAAGCTCACCTATTATGCTATATTTGAACAATATATTATTGACCATATCTATACAAAATCTGTTTTGCTCAAAATACCAAACAGATCACCCATTGTAGCATGCCTCTATTTCAGCCCTGTTACTAAAGTGCTGATTCTGGGTCTGGCCCTTTAAAAGTAACCGAGCTGCTGCTGGCCACGCCCCTTTGGACTGCTCGCATGCAAGCAGTGAGCTCTGTGAAGAGAAGGCTGCCTACCAGCAGAAACTCAAGGATTATTTCTGAAACAGTATGGAGCTCAAACGCTTTCTCTCTTTCGGGTTCACCACAAGGACAGTACCTTTTATATCAGGCTTATTTACACATACTCTCTCCAGTACAGCGTTAGCTCTGAGTGTTAGCGATGCTTGCTAATGTAAACACAGACCATATTACTTCCAAAACACGTCGCGCATTGTTTCTGATACAGCGATGTTTCTGATAGGGGACGATAGGTTGGGGCAGAACGTTGCCAGCAGTTCAACGTAAAGCCAGCCCACATTTCCGATATTACGTCATTACCGCATCAAATCTGGATCAGCTCCGTTGTACCCCAGTTTTTAGAGATGTGGGTAAGGAAGAAAAGAGAGAGGGTTTTATTTTCTGACACTTTGTGAGTCTCCTTACACACCGGGGACCAGAGATGGGGTCGTTACTAAAAAAAAGTAATATATTACATACTACATATTACTTTTTAAAAAAGTAATATATTACACTACTTCGTTACTCTCTACATAAAGTAACTCGTTACTTTACTCGTTACTTTACTCGCAGGGCCGGCCCGCCCCTACCTACAGGCAGATCACGCAGACTGCGGTGCACCTACAGTGTAAGCGCGCCACAGTTTTGCCTCTGCGAGACTCCACTTGCACCCCCAATTACTATTGCATTAAGGAAGACATAACACAAGTCTTTCTCTACAATAGGCTACCAGCCACACAACAAGCTAACAGTCTGTGAAACGTCAAGACACTAATTAATGAAACCAGTTCAAGACGCATTATTCTTATCATTCTTTATGAGCGCAGTAACGGTAAGGTATCTAATTAATTATTTATTTAGTATTCCATAACTTAGTAACAGAGATGGTCAAACTAAAGTGGTGGAGACATGGCAGAATTCCTACAATGAAGCGGGGCATTGAACTGTTCACCCGTGAGAGGGCGATCAACAAAAGAGAGCGAGCGACGCGTTGAGGGAGTTTACAGATGAAAAGACTCATCCATGTTTATGCAGCACTGCACGTGGAGATGTGGTCTCGCAGATTACATAGGCCTACATGTATATAAACCATAGACTGTAAACCTGCGGCGGAAACCCCTCTTGTCTGTCAGTGAGTGTGATTATTTTATAAAAGTAACGAAGTAACGCGTGTCGGGGCAATGTTAGTAACTGTAGTGTGATTGCTGAATTATAAAAGTAACGCGTTACACTACTCCGTTACCGACAAAAGTAATATTATTACAGTAACGCGTTACACCCAACTCTGCCGGGGACACATATTTATGTATAAAATACATAAAAAAGTGCATTTTGCATAATAGGTGACCTTAAGGGAACTCTGCATCTGGCTAAAGTAGGAATTTTGAGCTTCTTAAGGACCCTTAAAAGCAGCGCCGGGGTTTGCTCACACCACAGTGATAGTTTTTAAGCGAAGTGACTGATTTACTGCCTACTTCAGGAACTCCCTCAACTATTCTGACTTATTTCAGATTTCCATCAGCAGATCAGTACAAAGCAAAGGCAACACTGTTTATATTTTATTATCTTGCCTTATTTAAAGCTTTGAATGAATTGGCATTTACCTAAAGCTGCAACTCTTTGCAGCACAAAGACTGAATAATATTTTGTTTTGTATTTATCAATCTGCAAAAAATAACACGGGGAGTGACTGGATGCCACTTTAATGTTCTGGAAGGAGCAGTCACATGTACACTCCAAACTCACCCATGTGTCGAAACCTGCCCCCTGCTGTATATATATCAAACTACTCCTGATTTAAGCCCTAACCCAGACTTATAGAATGTATTATTATTTTATTTTCCCGTGATGTATAATCACGTTTAGATCAAAATGTTGTCGATGAAAATGCATTTAATGTGTCAAATGGTTTTATCAGCCCACAGGAGACCACCTATCTATTAAGACTATCACAAAGACAGTGATGTATTTTATCTGATTGTCTTCATTTGAATTATTTAGTGGAAACGATGAATTTGGACCTCTCGATGTACCTGGGAGGGTGCGTGAGAAAACATCTCCTAATACAGACTACAAAGACATTCTATCACAGAAGATGTTGCTTTTTCTTGGAAAATGACTCGCTTTTTGAGCAAAGACTGCACATTTTATTTTTTACCAAATCGTAATACTCTGTATGTAAGTAGGTTAGTGTTGATATTCAGTGATAGATGCTGTCACAGGACTGCGGAGCTAGTGTTAGCTGTGTGTTTTCCCTCTTAAATCTCTTATAAGATTATGTCACATGTGAAGCCCCTCCCTGGCGTCCCCCATGAAATGTCCCCTGCCTTGTGTGTCATGTTGTAGTTACAGCATGAATCAAACACTGCAAGTTGTGCTAATATCTATTATAACATTGTGTCAAAGCACATTTCACAACATGTGTGAGTGTTTATGCATGTATAACCGATCTGTCTGTCCCTGCGATTTTGAGTCTGTTTTTGGTTCAACTAAATGCAAATAAATGCGAGATGAACTGTCTGCAGCCTTCGGACATTTATTGTAAATTCCTGTATTCACTTCATGGCATTTTTATTCAATGTACTATAGATCCTCCTGAGACCCACCCATTCATTTTTGTCCTTTTTGACATTTGGTTTTGGTCCATAACTATGAGGTTATACATGCCACAGCATTACGTCCTATTGTACTCCACAGCCCTGGGCTTTTCAGACATGTGACATATGTGGGGGTGTGGCTTTGAAAAAGATAATCTCATTGTATTTCAAAATGGCGTCCATCAACACAAGGACTATTTATAGAAAGATAAATTGTAATTTTGTAATTACCAGTGTTGTGAGTTCAATATTTTTAATTAATTATAGGGAACATCTTAGGAGTTAGTGTAGTGAGTTTCAGAGCAGTGTAATACTTATTTGACCTCAAACTAAATGTTTTTATGAATGTCCTCTGAGGAGTGCATGGGGATTTACTAACTTTTTATTTGCCCCATTTTACACGACACAAATGTAGTCCACTATGAGCCACAACTAACACGTAGGTTTCTGTAGGGTTCATGGCAGACGGATGCAGTGGGAAAACATACATCAAGTGCCTCAAGTGTCAGATGTATCTCTGCATTTCAGAAAAGGATGGAGTACTACAAATGAGGGCTCAATATTTGTTGCATTGAGTTGTTGTGCTCTAATGTTGTCTAAATGTACTTGTATGTTAATGTTGTCTGTATACTATGCTTTGCATAACTAACACCTGATGTCCTCTTCAGACGACACACAATATAGTTTATGTTTGTCATTATGTTAATACCACCCTAAAGACTTGTGTGATCTAAAAAAAAAAAAGGATATTTGAAACCTTTTTCTTTCTGGGTCTCAGGAGGATAGAAACACAATATATACCACTAAGATTGTATTATAGCTTATTTTGTGGAGATACACTCTTATAATGTGTGATCGTGGTGCATATTCCATGGTAAAAAAGGAAGTGTTTGATGATAGAAATATTTCAAAATAAAATATTCATATCCTTTAATTGATACACATATAATAATTTGGTGTTGGCAGACATATTCTGTCTACATATCTGAACTCGTAATGTAAGTGTGAAATTGTCCAATAAGACTCACAATAGAAATAGCAAATATGACTGACGGAAAGCACAACACCTTGTATGATTAGAAACATGCCAGGGGAGGTAAGGATTATGAGAATAAAAATGATTCAAAATAAAATAAATGGTTTTTTTTTATGAATAAGTTTTTATTGCGTTCTCATTTATAATATATTGTTATGGTGGTGCCATATTGCTGTGGTTTTTGGTAGGAGTGTTAAAAACTTAGTTTGGATTCAGTCCATCCTTGTGCAAAAAATAATAATAAATAATTCTATCACATCATCTTCAAATGATATGCACATTTTATCCTTACATTTTGTATTGATTTTCATTTTTAAATAATATTCATGTGTGCTCTCTTCTTGCACCTGACATCAGTCGTCCAGATGTGACTCAGTGCAGGTAGGAGTCACATTCAAGGAAGTGACCGGAAAAGTGACAAACAAGAAACACTAAGACACAGTAGAGGTAGGATCCATTCCAAACCAACACTTAAAGACGTAACCAGTGGTGGAAACTGGAAAGCAACTATGTACAATTAATCAAGTATTGTATTTAAGTACTTTTTTGACACATTTGTAATATCCATTTTATGCTACTTTAAATCTCTACTCTGCTACATTTTAGAGGCTAATATCTTACTTTTTAATTACATTTATATAAACACTCCCCTTTACGATTTTATTTTTTACATATAAAAATAAAAACACATGATATGCTGATTTTGATGCTTATATTTTTGAACTTTTACTTAAGGATTTTATAGTGGATTATTTTAAGATCCTAGTATTTGTACTTGTATCTAAGTAAAGGATCTGTGTTTGTTTTGTTTATATATTTTTCTAGTTCATGTTATGAATGATTATGTACTCATGTTTGTCATTATGCTCATGCCAATAAAGCTATTTGAAATGAATTGAATGGATCAGCTGGACTAACCGACAGTGCAACAGGCGGAAGTGAAAGTGAAACGCTGCTTCCTCCTCCCGCTCCCTCCCTCAGACTGCTCGGTGTCTCGGCGGAGGCTCACCGTGAACACCGACATGAGCTCCCTCCAGTTCAACAGCCTGCTGCTGGACATCTCCAACCAGCTGACGGAGAAGCAGCTGGAGGACTTGAAGTTCCTGTGCGGGGACATGCTGGGGAAGCGGGAGCTGGAGAAGATATCCAGCGGGGTCCGACTCTTCCAGGTGCTGACCGAGAGAATGAAGCTCGGAGCAGACAACACCGACTGCCTGAGCCGCTTCCTCACACAAATCCAGCGGCAAGACCTGGCGGAGAGGTTGGAGAGCTTCGAGAGTCAGGCCGATCTGAGCGACGTCCTGCCGGACAAAGAGGAGAGAGGTGGGCTACAGTCACACTGCTACCTACTGTTTGTAGTTCCACAGAGGGTGTTACTCCTCTAGGACTACAACTCCCATACCATAGACTGTGTACACATTACCATTGGTGTACAGTAGCCTAACTAACTTCCCTACTCGACACATACACTCTTGTACTGTACTGAAGTATTATTTTATGTTGCTTTAATTGAGTATTTCAATGTCATGTTGCTATAGAAGTGAAGAAGTATATGGAGTAGAAGTATAATACTTCTACTCCATTCAGGCAAACACAGTAGGCCTACTATTTACTCCTCTAAATGCATTTCAACATTCAAAGGCTTTAACTATTTATATACTTTAATGAAATTCACATTGTCTGTAGGCCTATATTGTAAAATAAATAAATGATAATAATCCATGTTTATTATTCTGAAAATTAAACGTTGTTCACTATTAAAAGTTATGTTCGTACCACAGCACATTTGATGCTGTTACTTCAATACACAAGTCACTAAGTAATAAGTACTTTAATTGTCTTATTTAATGATTTATAAAAAATACATTGTAAAAAATGCAAGTATATATCTTATATATAAGAATTGAGCAAGTGACACAATGGTGCAAGTTAAATGCAGGAAAGAAATCAACAAATATATGTTAACTATATTGAATTAAAACAAAATGTAATATTTAATATTGTACAGTGGAACAACATACTGCATATTGTAATGATATGTAATTATGTAGACTGTAAATAGATCAATGTGTTTTAAAACACAAGTACACAGTTTCATTTTTTAAATATAATTTTAGAGTCAAATGCTTTAACTAAGGACAACTCTTTGGACCCATGCATACTTTATAAATGAAAAAACTACCATCAGCATTTAAAAAAAACAAAAACTATTTTCACCATGATTAGATATGCAAATGAGGCCTTCTCTAATGCTAACTTTTGTTCAATTTAGGAGAAATCTAAAGACAAAAATAAACCAAGCTGGTAAGGTAACACTAAAATGTGCTTTTTGGATGTTATTGGTTCTAGTCTGAAAGAACATTTCATTGGATAAAAATAGCCCAAACAAACTCTCAAAATGTAACGGTACATAAAAAACAATGTATTTGTCTGTACAATCTTCCCTTAAGTAGTAGTGTTTGCAGTTCCACATTTTCCTTGAACTAGTCGGATGGATTGTGGATCAGCATCATACTTTTGTGGAGCTATCAGCATGTGAAAATGAAATGACCATGTAAGAAGCGGTCTTGTTCTTGGAAGAATGTTTTGGGGGAAAAATAGCAAATACATGTTTAGGAGATTTGTTTGAAACTGCTGACTTTTAAATTAGCTAAATAAAATGACAAAATTATAAATCGCCAAACCCTCAACTGTTCCAAATTGTTCCTTTTAGCTTCCAAATGTCATTTTTGTCCTGGGAAGGGTGTTTGAGTAGATGAGTTTCATATTTGCCTGAGTATACTTTATTTCAGAATGTATTATAATTAGAGAAATACAAATTATTTCTCTCCTGCCAACCCATAATGCCTCCTCCTCCTTTCATCAGATAAACTGGGCATCGCCACAGAGGTGATCGTGGAGAATCTGGGAAAGAATTGGCGTAAAATGGGCCGCAGACTGGGCCTGACGGAGGTGAAGATAGACTCCGTCTCCAAGAGGCATCCCACAGATCTGGAGGAAACAACCAGGGAGCTGCTGAAGGAGTGGAGGAGGAGTCGGGGGGCCCAGGCCCAGACCCAGGAGCTGATCCAGGCCCTGAGAGCCTGCATGCTGAACCGCACCGCCGACCAGGTGGAGGACAGCCTGCCCTCCTGTTGAGGATCCACACAACAGTCTGACAGAACTGTGAGGGCTGTGATTAAACTACAAGAAACAATATCAAGAGAATGATACGCAAATATATAAAACTATGCAAAATAATCAACTTAAAGAGCAACTTGTAGGTTTGTTTTTTTAATAGATTTATGCTTAACCTTGCCTAAAAATTACAATTAAAAAAGTTAATGCAGGATTTGATACAAGACATAAGGGCAGGAATTCAGAGGGAAAGGAGCCGTTTTGAGCTCTGCTACTAAAAACTGCTTTTTTTTTTACGTCAAACGCGTCATATTACGTCACATGGGGGAGCAACTTTCTCGGACTCCTTCTCTGCCCAATCCGCGGTAGTAGTTTGTAGTTGGTTTGAGCGGTTGTGATTTAGTGAGCTGGTATTTTTTCGGTAATTTTACCGTAGGTTGCACAAACTCCAGCCTGTCAGGACATCGAGTCCACAGTTTCCCTAACAGGAAAAGGACCGGAGCTAGCTTTCGTTCCTGGGTGCGTTGTGCGAGGTGCATCCACCTCCCTGCAGCACATACTCTCCACAGCTGAGGCCTATCAAACAAAACGTTTATCAGGAGACGACCGTATTACATCTCTCTCCCACATTCGCTCCTCTCTCTCTCTCCCCTCCGGTAAGACGTAGTGTAGAGTTGCATTAGGTAACGCGAGACACGGCTGATACTTGCGCATTAGTTTCTGTTATGGATCAGTATCAACAGTCCTGCCAGTAACGTTACTATATTATCAATACTACTTTAGTTATAGCCTGATATATGATAGCTAACTTTAGAATGTTGTGATGTGACTGACATTAGCTAACATTAACTGTAGCTAACGCCGGTGTTCCGGATTAACTGGTTTACAGAGGTGGGGTGCGTGGCCTTCGACTGAAATACACATTTCGATCGCTTCTTCTGTCATTTACATACATCTTTTGGTATATTTGGCTCGGTAGGAAGACTTTGATGCACATTCAGTACCAGTGTGAGAGGTTGTGGTTACGATGGACGATAGCCGGACGCAAACAGCGAGGACTACAAAAAGAAAAACTAGTTGACTGGGGATGTCTGTTCAAAACATTGCGAACTCCAATAAATCATTTAAACCAGCTATTGTTGCCAGACTTATTACTGAATATCGTTCTTAATGTGATACCAAGTCCATCTGAGACCTGTGTACACCTTCAGACAGCCTCCAAGTGAAGTGTGCGTTGTTTACTCACAGTTTGAAAGCAGCGTGGAGAAGTCTTCAGCTGTGGTAAACTGTGATCCTCTCAGGTAAACTGTGATCCTCTCAGGTAAACTGCGATCCGCCCAGGTTAAACCGTGATCCACCTCTGTAAACCAGTTGATCGGGAAACCAGTTAATCCTGAACACCGGTCACTCACCAAGACAGCTGTCCTGTTCTCCACTGGTTCTCCACACACCACAGCTCCATTTCTTGCCGATGGCCGTTATTTCTTCTAATCCTTGGCTGCTCCTGGTCTCTTGGACGCCTAGCAGGCTCATCATTATAATCATATGCATACGAATATATATTCGAATGCATATGAATGCATGAGCCTAATAGGCTCATAATTATAATCATATGCATTCGAATATATATTTTCAACCTCTTCTGTGTCAAAACTAGCATTGTGATCCATGTTTATTCATACGTTAGACCGGCCGCTCTCCCCCAACAAAAATACTCAGGACTTTCAAATTAAACAAATACTTGGTAAAATCCAAAATATACACAAGATAAAATAATTGGGACGATCTCCACAAATGCCATCAGTTTATGGTTTTAAGGAGCATTCTCCTATGATGATGACCCTGTTTAAGTAGCTCCTTGTTATGTGCTACGAGTGCACGTTTAGTACTGACTTCAATACAGAGGTGCAGAGAGGACGTATTTTAGTAGGCCGACCGGGAAATAAGCATGTCTTTATTTTTTTCTTTACAACAAGATATAACTTCTTCCATGATATTGTCGACATGCTATACTATTGATTTTTTTACACATACGATATTATATTATGACTTTTACATTTTTTGGCATAATATACAATTAGTTCTCTCATTTTAGTTTTGACAAACTACACCATATACATCTTTTCATATTTTTTAACATACTATACAATTACTTTTTTCATTCTATTTTCAATATAATATACTATGAGTGTTTTACATACAGAGAATCGCTTCACCAAGTCGACCAACTGTAGCAGATCTCAAAGCTGGCTGATGGCTTGCCAAAACTGAAAAATATGGCTGGTGTCAGCTGTTGGGTGCGCTTGTTTTGATGTGCAGCAGGGTTTTCTACGAGCTGGCCGTGCCTTAAACCCATTTTTGTAAACATATGCATGTGTGAGGCTGATAAGTAAGAGCATTGACCTCAGTCCCAGACTGGCTGTTCTACATCTTTGTGCTAAGCTAAGCTAACCAGCTGCTGGCTGTTACCTCATGATGGCAGGTGTGCCAGGCAGCTATATTGAAGTTCTCAGCTGCTATTCTGACAGGAAATTAATAAGCATATTTTCCAAAATGGAATGAATTAAATGTAATTCACAGTAATACTGAAATTGTTTTATTTTATGATCATAAGCCATCAAACAAAATATGAGTGTAATGAGATGCTATTTGAAATTAATTGTCTCTTTATCATGTCCAGAATCTACACAGTGCTTTTGTAATTTGCCATTTCATTAAACAAAGATCTGCATGTGGTGCTCATACATTTAGCAGGTGTATTGCTACAGGACAACCAAAACTGCTCCTTGTGAAATCCTCTCTGCCTTAACTGCATGTCGTGATGTCATCAGGACGGCAGGTCAAAGGTCTTTTTCAGTTTCTGCAGAAGAAATGCATGTCATTAGAGCAGTGGTTCCCAAACTTTTTCAGTCGGGACCCCCTTGGGTATTGGAAATATTTTCGGGACCCCCCAACCCGGTTCCCATCTATATTGGTACGATTAATTGTATATTGTTGTAAAAACATTACATTTTCTTTGCTAATAATAAGAAGATACAAAGATCCAACTATCATTTTATATTTCATTATGGATTATGAACAAAAGTGAAAAATAGATTTTTAAATTCAAATTTCTTTAAGGAAAATATATGAATGAACACTGAACTACTATTTCTACTGCAGGTTGCCAACGATCACATCACTATACAATTCCTATTCCACACATAGCCTATCAATGACTTGTGTGTGCTTGCTTTCCCTCGCAGATCTTCTCAAACCGGTGCTGTTGTTTTGAGACTGCCACTCTCAGTTCATTCTCAATGTTCAGCTTTGATCTGTATTTGGTTTTGATGGCAGCAACAGCAGAAAAGCCTGTCTCACACAAGTAGGATGTTCCAAAAGGCAGCAATATGCTCAAAGCTCTCTGGCCAATGAGAGGGTACTCCTTCTCCACTCCAACCCAAAACCCAGCCATGGTCCTGGATTTGAACAGCAGCCTCATGGTTGAATCTGAAGTCATTTCAATGTACTGTTCCTCTTCTGCAGTGCTGAACGTGGTAGGTGGTGTTGCAACAAATGGATCTCTAATCCAGTCGTATTTGGCACTGTCATCCACAGAGAAGTATTTCTGGAAGCTCAGTTTCAGGGCTGAGATGTGATCTCTCATACATGGGAACGCTGTGTTCTGCAGCTCATTGGTCTCGATGAATGCCTTGAGATTCTCAAATGAGTCGTGTTATGGAAATCTAAAAACCCCAATACTGTAGAGTACAAGTCAGAGTGATTAAAAACAAATAAATGGTGAATCAGACAGAGTTGTCTTTCTGGTGATGTTTATTCGAGGCCTCAAACAAACATCAGATACAATAAAAATATAGACACAGGTCTCACAGAGTATAAAATATGTCTGCGCGAGTGTGCGCAGTTCAATATGGTAGCAAAGCTTATAAAGGGAGGAAAATAGTGGGAAGGTAAGATATCTGTCTTCACACGGTCACATTGTTATTAGACACCTGGCCTTGAGCTGTAGAAGTTCTCGTGTGACTTTGTGTGAGTCTCAACCCAGTAGCCAAAACAGCTCTGTGGCCTTGAAGTAGAGTAGATAGAGGCAAACAGCACATCTAACCAAATGAGAAGCATTTGGTTACTTTGAACATATAAGGAATATAATAAAAATGTCCACTACAATCGATATCCCCACGTTCTAGTCTCCTGCCCCACATGTCCAGTTTCCGTGTGAAGGATTGTATCTTGTCTGCCAGGTGTGGAAGGTGAGTATTGTTGCCCTGCAACTGCAGATTCAATTCATTTAGCTTCACAAACATGTCGCTTAGGTAGGCCAGTTTCATGAGGAAGTGTTCATCATTAAACTTGCTGTCAAGATCGTTCCCCTCCTCCTCCAAGAAGATTCTGATCTCATAGCGCCAACACCCTGGACAGCACTTTTCCGCGAGAGAGCCATCGGGACTCGCTGTGAAAAAGAACAGCTGTGGACTCTGAGCCCATCCCCTCACACAATGCGGATCAAAGGCGAGCTTTCAGTGGTCTTGTTTTGATGTAATTGTAAAATGGCATTAAGCTCCGGACTCAGCTGCTTTGACGCGAGTGCCTCTCTGTGTATTATACAGTGCGTCCACACTGCTCTCGGTGCAACGCGCTTGATGAGCGCCCGTAGCCCTCCCCGTAGCCCTCCCCGTGTTCCTGCCCGGGGCCCGGGCACCGTATGTGCAGATCCCCACACAGTTCTCCCATTTCATTTCGGATTTCACTCAGACAGGTGTCGATTATTTTTGAACAGTTCATCAGCTGTTGCTCTCTTTCGGACATAGTTGCAAAATAGTAAATCCTCGCTCAGCTCATCTATATCCACGTATCTGACATACGCAATTAACAGACAGTACTGTCTGTAGCCTCGTCTACCTGGAGTTTTCGTCTTTTACTTTCTCAACAAGCTGCTCTTTCATGTCTTCTGAGACTTCATCAATGCGTCTAGCAATAGTGTTGTCGGACAAGGGGATGGCTTTGAGTTTTTGGGCAGTTGCCTCGTCAATTAAAGTTGAAACCATATCTATAGCGCAAGGGAGTATGAGCTTCTCAGCGATGGTGACCGTGGTAAATTTGGTTTTATATTGGACGTTGGATATTCGACACATT